GGAGCATGACAATGCTCGACCTCACGTTGCACGTGTTTGACAGGTCTTCCTCCAGCAATGTTCAGCTGTTACCTTGGCCTTCTCGATCGCCGGATTTGTCCCCCATTGAGCATCTTTGGGATACTCTTGATCGACGCTTGCGCCAGCGTAATCCGCCACCTCAGACACTACAAGACCTGCACACAGTACTTCAGCAAGTGTATCAAAACATTCCTCAAGACAACATTCGGCATCTCCTTTCTTCTATGGGTCACCGCTGCCAAGCTGTTATCGATGCTCATGGTGGTCACACCAGATACTGACATTTTACTCTGACCAAGTGGCTTTAATAGCCCTCTGTGGTTTTACCAAAACACTTTCTGGATAATCATGTTTTAGAAATTTGTAAAGTGATGATTTTACTGTAACTGATCAATGATGTCCTGTCTGTATCAGTTATATGCACTCAGTAAGTAAACTCCAAAACATCATGTCAAGTTTCTATTTTTGAAGAGTATATATTCGGAATTGTTACAATTGACTCTGCTTTAGGTATCTGATGTGTGTGGAAAGTCTTTCGTCGCTTCTATTTACTTCAAAATTAAGAAGCACGTAACTGCACGCAACCAGTCGGGCCTCTTACATTTAAATTACAAAAGAGGATCTTGTAATATTCACTGCATTCCACGTCTCTGACAAAGAAATACAACCTCTTAAAGTAAAACAATAAAAAGATGTCAAATGCAATGACCGGTTTGAGAAACAAGACACTTGCAAATGAGTTTGGTATGACGTCTCATAGTGCCCAAAACCCATGACACGGAAAGACAATAAAGTAGGCCTACTTCAGGACAACCATAGTGAATCCTTTTAGGGATCGTGAAAAAGAAGGGATGAGAACTATATTACGTCCCCAGAATTGTCATGGTATCGCTCTTGTTTTCTTTCAAGAGGTATCACCGACCAATTAAACTTGAGAGATGCTGAGGCTAAACTGGTGAGAGAGATCTGACAATGCCATATACACATTTGATGAAGCAAAGGAACCCTAACCTGGTTTAATGGAAGAGTATAGACTCTTGCTAGTTCGCAGTCCAATTAAGTTTTATTTAAATTCCTCAAACCACCACTTAGTTTGTTACCTCAGTATTACGTATTGTACAATACTGTGGCGAAAATTAGTAGCATAAATATAGTCCCCCTTCTTCGTTTGGTTAGCGGGGCGGTGGAGTAGCCTAGTGGTTAAAGCGTTGGCTCGTCACGCCGAAGACCCGGGTTCGAATCCCCACATGGGTACAATGTGTGAAGCCCTTTTCTGGTGTTCCCCGCCGTGATGTTGCTGGAATATTGCTAAAAGCGGCGTAAAACCATACTCAGTCAGTCAGTCAGTCGTTTGGTCAACGTTAATTTTTAATTTTTTTTAGATTGTGATACGGCAAATCATTAAGGATAAATCGTGCGATCAGCACTCGGTCGTTTCTGGCATTTACAGTTCGTTGAAACATTTTCCAGTCATTCCAGTTTTTCATTATATTACAGTTGTGACTATTAAGGTTGATTAGGTTTTCATCATAACCAATATACTTTCGGACATGCCATATCTGCTTGCCTTGTCGAGTCTCTATATACCACTTCGAATTTCAAAGAGCTTACATTTATCATTGACATATTTCATTCATATACAAACAACAACGTGGAAGGTCCGCTATGTGTTTTTGCGGAGTGTCCCAGTCAGTCACGACCAGACCCGTGAAGATCCGGATTTGAATTGATCTTCATTAAAACTAAGCTAACTCACGAACGAACGAACGACCAATGCTGCAGCAAAACGAGTCGTGACCATACATGTACCCACAGGGGTTCGAATCACTGTTCGGACAATAATTTTTAAAAATAAAATCTAGATTTTTGAAACCGTATATTGTTTTTATATGTTATTAGTAACTTTTATTTCAAATTTGAACGAAATCGGTGAAGAAATGGACTTTTAGAAAATTCTCCCGCTACACTCATTACATAAAATACACAAGGGGTCACAGGGGTTCGAATCACTGTTTGGACAATAATTTTTAAAAATAAAAATCTAGATTTTTGCAACTGAATATTGTTTTTATATGTTATAAGTAACTTGTATTTCAAGTTTGAACGAAATCAGTGAAGAAATGGATTTTTTAGAAAATTCTGACGCTACACTCATTACATAAAATACACGTGTATTTTATGAAATGAGTGTAGCGGGAACTGTAGGCTATGTATATGCCAGAAACGCCAGAATGTAACAGCATGTACCGCTGTGTCGTCTGCTCTGTTGTTAATACATGGGATTCGGGGTATAGTACAGCATGGACGGTGACAGCGCTTACTCCTCACGCCAAAGATTGTTTAATTTCCATTTTGTGTGTAATTTGTGAATTCCATTCTTAGTGTGATTCGTGAAACCTAAGCTTTGATGTCAAGTTTTCTTCAATCGTCTCTTCACAGCATGCACCAGACGTGTTATGGCCTCCACTGACGTCCAATGACATGATTCTACTCACACTACCAGTCCACTGCGACACCTGAAAAATGTATGTGAGGCAACGAAAACATCATCGTACAACGTAACCATTGTGAATATGAAAGAACTTACTGGCAAACAAGGATAAGTTGAGCACCGACCTGACAATTGACCCGTATATTAGCATGTATGAGTGCCGCCCACTGGCCCTTGCCATTGTGAGCGAAGGGGCCCCAGGTTTTCCGACTTGCTACACCAACCACGTGAGAGTCTTATGAGCAAGGCGTATGCAGCTACGCGCGGAATCAATTTCATCGTCATGTACTGCACGTGCACTAGCCTACATCAGCTCTACCTTTCACAAACCAAATGGGTTTGCTTATTGCCGTGCACCGCCTACTTCTCGTAAACGCGTTCTCTGCGCCGGTCCAAATTATCTGGAATATTGCTAAAAGCGGCGTAAAACTTTGTCAGTCAGTCCTTGTTTGCCAGTAAGCACCCCTGTGCTTTTGCTATGATAAGCTTTTAACACGAACATAAAACTTCTCGTGGTGACTACGATGGAAAAACATGAGTTTTTCTGACCCGTATGATCCTTTGCCTCATAATAAATGACAATATGACTGGAATCCATGTTGATTTTAAGATGATACTTGCTCATATAAAAAAACCACTGATTTTTATACAAAACCATGTCTGTACAAGTATGGCCCTGAAATACTGAATGTTGAATTTATTGGTGAATGTGAACATTCAAATGTTATTTTGCGTGTCTTACACGATTCAAGGTCAATACCGAGTGTAACCTCCATGTGACTGTATGACAGCCACACACCTCCTCCTCATACCCCCTGTCAGCCTCCTGGTCCTCTGAAGGGGCAGTCTACGCCATTCCTCGTATAAAGCAGCTTCCAATTGGGCCAGGTTCTGTACAGGAGGGTCCCTCTGTTGAACACGACGACCAATCATGTCCCAGATATGCTCCAAAGGGTTATGATCGGGGCTCATTCAATTATGGGATATGTCAGGTGGGTGCGTAACTAAGTTCTTTGTGTATTTTTCATGATATTTGGAGGACAATTATCATATTCTGTAATAACATCGTTAAAGGAAACCACATTTAGCTGAAGCGAAGCTCACTTCTTATCCACGATGAGCGGTTACATTAAATTATGCCCTTGGTCTCTACAACAGCTGACTAGCACACACCTTCTAATCCTATAGCTTAACAATGAATTAAAGTGTGAGTGAATATTGTTTTACACAAGGGTTGGAAGTTTCCAATATTACGTCAGCAGAGTTACAGATAAGCTGCGTATCTGCGTAAATTACGCAAATATTTATGTGAAAACTCAAGTCCTTTTATGTCTATTGCGTACAAGTACGCTTGACGTTTTGTAAATACTCAATAAGTGTGATCTTACATGCGTACACGTCAAATCTTTGTTTGCGCGCCGGTTGATAGATAAAATAACTGAATTATATTGAGAGGTTCTATTTCGAGATATGAACTTGGCAACCTGCAGTCTTTCTTGTCGTTTCTCATATTACAGATCAAATGTAAATAACAAACACTAGCATTTAAACTTTATTATATTTTTAAAATTAATGGAAAATGGCAAACTACCCAATTGAGTTTGAGTGAGGTGAATAGAATTTATTTGGTTACTCAAAGGAAAATTAGGATACCCAATTGAGATGAACACTAGCGAGTACATAACCCATTGACCCAAAATGTTATCTGTAGCTCTGCGGCCGTCAGTCTGTAAATAATCGAGTATTTATCACAAAGAGCAGTGGTTGATAGCATGAACATGGCCGTCGATGCATGGCTAGTCCTCGAAATGTGTTGGCCGTCTGACAAGGAAAATATATTATTTGCATCGTGCATACTGCCTGACAGATGTTGAAGATTGAACGGGCGCTTCAGTTGTATTTCACTCCGTGACTTTTGTGAAAATGACAACCAGAAAATAAAATATATTTTCTTCTCTTTTATCAGCAAAGTTATATTTCAATAACAATGTCTTAGTCTATACATTTAAAAAGAAACCCAATTTATATACTCATCCCATGCATGGCCTACAAATGACATTAATATACATATACGAATCGAAATTCGGAACAGCGCTCGTAAAATCTGAACCACAACTACTACCAAAAATGATATTAATTAATAAATTTGAGACTTTAAAAAATTAAGTAGGTCAGTCTACTAAGTGTAACTGAAAAACTGTTTCTCTGTCAAATATTTATTGTATGTTAAAGTTTTACATCTAAAGTATTGTGAATTTAGATTCAAGCCATATTCCTGAAAAATATACGAGACGGTACCTCATATTAATTCTAGATATTCTTCTTATTATTATGATCTGTTTGGGTACGAACTGGCCCAATATTCCAGTTGTTGGTTATGTTTTACTGCGAAATACTGCAGATTACTAAATATTACCGCATTTTAAATAACCGATCCCTAAACCCTGCCTGCACAATGACCGGTCCCTCCCGTTAGGCACAGCTTGAAAGAAAATGGCGGCTGTTTGTTGACAGTCACCATGAAACGATTTAAAAAGTTGTGTTATAGCCGATTATGAAGAATTAGCATTCTTCGAGTCGACAAGGTCCGAAAGACCTGTTTTAAAACAATTGTTTTTACAAACATTCCATTTGGAAGTAAGTAGGATTCAGTGGAACTTGCAAAGGTATGTTGTGGAGACATGTCCAAACACCTCTCAGAATGTTGTCATTCAAGTTTGACACTTGTTGTTTTTGTAAAATATACGTACAGAGTATTGTTTTAACTGTACATATAATGATATAGCGCTTGTGTCTTGCACATATATACACTTAAGTTATATTAAATTCCAGGTAAAATGTTCAACATTGCTAAGGAATTTAAAAACGAGATCTATCAGGTTGTTGAGCGGGTATTCTAACTATTTAATTATACTTCTCCACAAGTGTCTGTTCATTTGATCTTGAAAACATAAACATAGAGACAGAATTCAGGGACTCAACTTCAGAATTGCTGTAGTGATGAGATAATCTAATTTCTAACCCATGAAGGGCAAATACATGCATGTGTAGATGGGTAAACAGGGTTCCAGGAAAACAGACACTGAGGCATGAATAGAATCAAGTTTAATAAATGGGCCTGTAGTGAGCTACTTGCAAGATGCTGGATCCCTTATTTTATTGAATTCAGATGATTTAAATTTTATTTTGTTGAATTCAGATGCCCTTCAACTTTGTTGCAGACATAGGCCGACTTTTATGATGAGATTAAATGTATGGAAATGTAGGAGGCAACATCCGAGAATTAGCAACTCTGGCATGTGATGCTAGGCCCAGATGACATGTATCTATATGGTGTTACATTACTTTTTTGTCATCATTGTTCTTGGCATGACAGATAGTAGGAACAGATTATGGAATATGTATTATGAATTGCCATCACCAAGGTTAGATTATTGAATTCACACTTAAGAGAAAATATAATTTTCAGCAGTTTTATTATGTTTATTGAGAACAAGGACTTCCATCCAAGTACTTTTGTACAAACATAAGTAATGAGTATTACATCTTTGAACAGAATGAAGTTGTTAACTGTAGGGTATTGCCTGAAATGAACTTGTTTCTACTTTAAGAATTGGACTGACATAAAATGAATACAATGAATACAATGTCATTCGTCTTTCACAGCATAATGCCCCTTCACATTCTTGAGGTCATCTTTTAGTTGTTTGGTTGTCAGTCCTCATGTCTAAAATATGCACTGGTTTATAGTTGGTCCTCAGCAACGCATGCTCATAAGAGACACCTATGGAGGTTTATGGTCAGTTTGGCTGACTTGTTGAATGATTCCCATGTTGTCAATCACTGAAGAGTTTCTTCTGGATGTGATTATTTTCATCATTAGCTGGAGTATTGTTGAGTGTGACCTTAAACAAAGAAATTTGTCTAATATATTCCATGTGACATATATCTGTATTGCAGCTACCAAGATGTCTGGAATGATGATAAACAACCAGGTGATCCTGGAGGAAGACTACGATGAGAACTATGAACCCACTGAACCTGGTCAGTCATAGACATTAAGAAAGAAACTTGATCTCTTAGTCTCTAAAGGGGCGGTGGGGTAGCCTAGTGGTTAAGGCGTTCGCTCGTCACGCCGAAGACCCGGGTTCGATTCCCCACATGGGTACAATGTGTTAAGCCCATTTCTGGTGTCCCCCGCCGTGATATTGCTGGAATATTGCTAAAAGCGGCGTAAAACCAAACTCACTCACTCACTTAGTCTCTAAAGTAAATGTCAAGTTGTCTCTTAATTGCATTAAAATGATTAAGTAAATACATGTAAATTTGAAACTGTTTTCATTAAATCATAACTATATTTTGTATTTTTATTACTACTTAACATAATTACCACAACAACAGTTTTAAAAAAAGTCACCTGGATGTCCACATATATGTCATGTACATGTATTTAATGTCAGTTATCTTGGCTTTGGAAGACCTAAAATAACTGTGTGCTTTCTAATTCCAGAGATATATGAATATGCACAGATTATTGGACTTGACCCAAATGTAGAGCCACACCTCATGTGGATTGGCAAAGAAGGAATCAATGCACCGCTGCCAGAGAACTGGAAACCATGGTAAGTTTACTTCAGCTGAATCTCATGTCTAATTCACATTATGCTGGCTTGTTAACATGTAAAATATACAGCTCACCTCTAATTCATATTGTGCTGGCTTGTTAACTTGTAAAATATACAGCCCACATCTAATAGTAATATGTTATTGTTAATTGTGCTGGCTTGTTAACTAGTAAAATATAGAGCTCACATCTAATTCATATTGGCTTGTTAGCAATTTAGATGCACAGCTAACTGCTAATAAGTATTGTTTAGACAACTTAACAATTTTCTGGGTTTGTTGATAAGAATGACTCAAAACTATTTACCCAGTGCTTGTTGAACTAGCAACGGGGTGATGATCCCACTGGTTGCTGAGAATGACTAGTACAAGTACATAGCTGAGTAACAGATGGTGATTACCTCTGTCAGCAGCATCACTGCTTGTGTCTCATTCACGTGATGTGTATTACGATATGGATAACACTGGTATGACCGCCCCCATGGTGTAGTGGTTAGAGCATCCCCCTGAGAGCGGAAGGTCGCGGGTTCGATCCCCAGCTGCGTCATACCAAAAGATGTTAAAATATGGTACTTGTTGGTCCCTGCCTGGCCCTCGGCATTAATGGGTACAACAAGGACTGGTCGGCTCGGAGTCAGTATAATGTGTCTGAGTGGGGTATACATGCTTAACTGCGGCATGGTATCTCACTTCTCAGTGAGCTGGCACTATTAACACCAGCATAAGTCTGGGCTAGTACAAACAGCCACACATACACACATCCACTTCGTCATATGAGTGAAATATTCTTAGTACGGCGTTTAACCCCATTTTCACCCCATTTCACTAGTATGCTGGTCAAGTGATCATATTATCATGATCGTGATCACCTGTGAAGGTCCGGGTTAGAATATTGGCCTTCAGTAGCCCATGCTTGTCGTAAGAGGCGACTAACGGGATCGGGTGGTCAGGCTCGCTGACTTGGTTGACACATGTCATCGGTTCGATGCTCATGCTGTTGATAACTGGATTGTCTGGTCCAGACTCGATTATTTACAGACAGCTGCCATATAGCTGGAATATTGCTGAGTGCGGCGTAAAACTAAACTCACTAACTCACTCATGATCATGATTTGAAGATCTTAATAATCTTATAACTATTTCTTGCAGTCAAGACCCTGAGAAGAACATCTACTACTTTAACTTTGCCACTGGGGAGAGTATCTGGGATCATCCTTGTGATGAGTTCTACAGAGCCATGGTCGTGGAGGAGAGACGCAAACATGCTCTCAATAAGTCAGGTAGTCACAACATAACTTACCATCCAACTAGTCGTGTTCCGATGATCGAAAATCGATTGAAAGAAGGATTAAAAATGATTATTGATTGTAAAAAAAAACATATTTTCGATTAATTGGAATTTGTTGTTTTAGTTTAACACACTTGAATGAAGTAAACTAGCGATTAAATTTGACGAATATTCACGAACAAACATGCCCTCAACAGCGTAAAGCTATGCACATTGTAAAATTTTAATTACTTTTATTTTTCCTTATCCTGACTCATGCTCTTTTGCTTGTCTCCTTCTTCTTGCGAATGATAGTGGAACACTTGAATCCCCTTTTGAAGCTCCCTTTAAAAAAGCGGACATAAAATCAGGGGTGGAAATAAACCATTGCCCGATGCCCGAGTCCAGTGTTTTTTTCTGTCGGGCAAGCATATTTGTTTATCACACTGTACCGGTGTCCAGTTGACTTTCCAATGTTAATTATGTTGTTTATTTAAAAAATCAACAAGACAATCGTCCAGTATAGTGGAAAAATTATCAGGGCAAGTGATTTTACTTGTGCCACTGTACCGGAGTACACTAGCAATTTTAAAGTTATTTCCAGCCCTGAAAATCTGGGGACAAGTCTACTTGACATATTATCGGAAGATTGAAGTAATAAACTTCAAGTCATGATTCCTGAACCGGACATTGCTCCGCTTCCATTACGGACATGGCAAGGGTTCCACTGTCTACTTACCTACAACGTAGGATATGAGCAGATTTCTGGGGAGATGTTCATCTCACCACAGAATCGCATGGTCGTCTCAGAGGATCGTTGGGTCTAGATACAAGCCATGGTATCTCAAGCACTACTCTCCGTTACCACTACGAAGTTGGCAGAGCCTACTTGGTCTTCTCACGTCAGCACAAGACATGACACACAGAGGAAAACTACAACTGCGCCCACTACAAGTGTTCATGAACGCTCATCTAGACAGTCTGGACTCCTTCGGACTACCGGACGGACTGAAACCATATCTTCTATGGTGGACTCGGAAGTCGAATGTTTGTGGAGGAACCTACTTATCAGAGCCGGAGTGCAACACTCATCTCTACGTAGATGCATCACTTCAAGGATGGGGAGCCCACCTCGACAACGAAGTGGCAGCAGGGAAATGGTCAAGTCAGGAGCAGAGTCTGCACATCAACATGCTCGAGATGAAAGAAGTAATAAACGCCTTACTACACTGGTCCAGCATACTAAGGAACTCACAACTGATGATCCATACGGACAACTCCACAGTGGCGTCTACATCAACAAACAAGGATCAACAAGGTCAAGAAATCTTCTAGACCTCAGCTTTCATCTGTTCAGCATAATAGACAACCTGAACATCGACATAAAAGCATGCCACATTCCCGAAGCCAAGAATGTGATAGCAGACACCCTATCTCGTCCAACACAACCATCCCCGACGGAATGGATGTTACATCCAGAAGCCTTCAAATGCATCATACAGAGGATAGGATCTCCGCTGATAGACCTGTTTGCTACAAAGTTCAACAAACAACTACCAACATTCGTCTCTCCGGTTCCGGATCCACAAGCATGGGCAACAGATGCTCTAAGCATCTCCTGGGAAGGACTAAACGCTTGTTGGTCGCGCTCTACTGGCCAGCGAGGGTGTGGTTTCCCGATGAAAGCAACACATCCTCAAGTGGCAGAATACCTTATCATCTAAGACAAACGAGGCGGTTAAAAGGTTCAACACTCTCTACATACCTAGCGGCCCTCAGCACGGTTATCACCATGAAGACGGGTGTTAAGCTGACCAAAGTACCAGAGATACTGGCTCTACTACGCCCTTAAGTTGGAAGACCAACCAAAGGAAATTTAAAGCGCCTGTTTGGGATCTCAACGTAGTCTTGCAGCATCTCACCAGTGACGCTTACGAACCACTAGAAAGGACATCCTATGAGTTTTTAACACACAAAACTCTTTTCCTGATCGCCTGGGCCACAGCAGCTCAGATGTCGGAAATACATGCTCTGGACTTTGAACAAACACGATTTGATGCACATCGCAACATCGTACATCTGGGATTGAGATGGGACTTCATAGCAAAGAACAACTGCCCGGTCAACCAGACAGACAGTTCCACATCCCAGCACTCTCGACAGTCCTTGGGCCACAGGATACTCAGGACCTATCCTTATGCCCAGTCAGAGCATTGAAAGTCTACCTACAAAGGTCCTAGATGGGGAGACGAAAATTCAAGCACCTTTTCATCCCTCTATCTATGGAGACGCCTACAGAGGTCTCACGTACGATGATATCGATATGGATGAGAGCCGTCACCCTAATAGCCTACAAAGCAGCAGGACTTGAGCCTCCACAAGCCTCCAACCCTCATGAAGTCAGAGCGCTGGCATTGACACTCGCTCTGCATGGAAACTACTCCATCTCGACAATAATGGAGGGCTGCTTTTGGAGATCGGAGACGGTGTTTGCCAACCACTACCTCAGAGACATTGCTACCGAGAACGTCTCCGGCAATCACCAGTTTGGGCCTCTTGCTGTAGCAAAACAATTGACGGTTCCTCAAAGGCACTGAGATGAATCTCACCCTTTTATCACGTGACTTGTAAAAGCCAATGCTCCCCATGCGCTCTGAAGAGCTAGAGCTTTAGAGTCCATGCGCACGTCTAGGACAGACCAGCATGAGTGATAGACCCTGTACTTGTAAAGGAGTTACTCGTACATGAAGAAGGGTCGCTTCTCCACTTGATGCGAGCATCAAGACATGGAGTTGCATAAATCCACACATAATGTCAGGAGAAGAGTTCCAGAGAAATCTGACAAGTTGTGGTCCCCCCAGACTCATCAGAGGAAGCTGGAAGAAAAAAGGATCAGCACAAGTGCCATCATAAGTTCCCACGGGGGGTATGCAGGACATAAATCTACAACCGATGAATCCAGAAGTGGCCTGACCCACCACCGGTTCCGTCGGATTCTACAAGCAAAAGAGCATGAGTCAGGATGAGGAAAAATATGTAATTTTTTAAATTAAAATTGATATTTTATGCTTATCCTGACTCATGAGGTCATCCCTCCCAACCTCCCCTCTGGACACTCTGGATGTCCCAGTAATCTGGGTGTCGGGCTCATATATACGGAGAGAGGGACAAGCTTGGCTGGTCAGGTGACCAATAAGGGTGCCAAAGGGCAAAGGGAGGCTACTCGTGGGGTGAGTGATTTTATGTCCGCTTTTTTTATGGGAGCTTCAAAAGGGGATTCAAGTGTTCCACTATCATTCACAAGAAGGAGAGAAGCAACAGAGCATGAGTCAGGATAAGTATAAAATATCAATTTTAATCAAAAAATTACATATTGTTTAATTACAATTCCAGTGTCTTTCTTGCATGCATGCATTTCATATCATGACAGTATTAGTTATAAGAAACATTTATTAGAAAAAACCTGGTGCGAAACCCTTCATATTGGTGTTTTCATTAAAAATATATATATTTCGATTATAATCCTCCGATAATCGATAGTGGATTTGGTTTCCGATTCCCAACACTACATCAAACAACAGATAAATACATCTCTGTGTTCTGTTAACCAAAATAACATTATCATTTTGACTGGAGAACCTGTATGATATTCTTGTCATTACTGACTTTGAGACAATGTGCTGTGAATCCATGGTTACTGTTTTTCTGATTGCCATGGTAACAGGTCCTCAGAAGAAAAAAGGGAAACCTGCAAAAGAGGACTTCAAAAAGAAAAAGGAAAAACCCGGAGTCAAGGTACTTTCTTCTGCTTATAAATGATCATTGTCCAGATATAACTGCAGAAAGCAAAGGACATACAATGAATTGTATTCAGATCGCTTCGCGGAAGTTAAAGAATCAATACTACGTACTAGTTTTAGTAAAATATGTATATGATTGATGACCATAAAGATTTTCCATGACACAACTTGTAACATAACGATTTCTTCATCGGAAGCGAGGTTGTGGTCGAAGTAACAATAATACTGTAAGTAGTATTATGTTGACACCCATCTCGCTTCCNACTTGTAACATAACGAGAGAAATTGTTATGTTATAAGCTGTATCATGCAAAATCCTATTGGCCATCAAATCAAATACATATTTTACTACTAGTAGAAATTAGTTTTGATTTTGTAACTCGGTGAAAACAAACCTAAATAGCATTTACCCTCAGACTGGCGGATAGGGCGCCACCATTTTTGAAAATCATAAAGTCACGGGCTAAAGTCTGTTAGAATTAATGAGATTATAGTTTGTTTTCATCAAGTAAGAAAATCAAAACTACTTCCTACTCGTAGTTAAATATGTATTTGAATCATGACCAAAAGGATTTTGCATGAAACAACTTATAACATAACGATTTCTTCCACGGAAGCAAGGTGGGGGTCGAAGTGACAATACTGTGCGATGAATTTCTTGAGCATTCACATGGTTAACGTCCACTCACCAGTATGTAGAAACTAGTTAATGTACATCTTTATATTTGGTCTTATAATCCTGATTAGTTTATTATCATACTTGTATGCATTTTGAAACTAAATAAAAAGCAGACGATCTGCTGATACTTATAGTGAATTTATAACAGGACTGTGATATCGAGACATTTTATAGTTTGCCAATGTGAATCATAATTCGCACTTGCGCCGTAGTGTAATGTTGTTTGTCTCATTATACTTCACGGCGAAAACAATGATTCTGTTCAATGCTACGACAAATGAATAAAAACAAAATGCAAATATTAAATTAAAACAGATTAAAGTTATAGGAACAATGTCAGGCTATTACCTTGTTCGAGGAGTGTATCCATCAATATCCACAAATACGAGTGATATGCCATTCATCTGCAGCTGCTCCAAGTGATGTGTCTTTTAACAGTCTAATATACGAAAAAGTGACATATCGTTTCAGGTATTTCACATTGGTGTATAGTCTCATTATAGTCCAAGATAGCACACCTGGCAACTAATTGCATAATGTCCGCCTTTCTTAGTTAGCCAATAATGAGCAATCAATCAAATGTATTGGCAGTTAATCCTTTGAAAGAAGGACGTTGTTTTTTCGCAGACACAGACACGACAGAGTGTATTCAGTATAGATTAGTAATCTACATACATAAACACTACCTTTTGACAAATCCGCTGTGTAAGATTAATTAATCAATCAGCGTGTTATCTAGGGGTGTCGCGATACGCGAATGTTTCGATGCATCGATACATTTTTTACTGACGATACGATACGCGATACATGCTTGCGTGTATCAATTCCTATTTTAAAACTTTATCGATTCAAATTTTTATGCTATATCCATCTCCGTCAAAGTCTTGATAGTAAAATTATACCAGGCCGCTCCGATAAATAGATTTAGCTAGCTTTACCTAAAAAATAAGTTGGAAATTAACAGCTTTTGTGATTGGCTAGACTATTTTGATGGACCAATCAGCGAGCGCGTACGTTGCCGGTAAGGTAATGCTATGAAAAGGCACGATAATTATGTATCGCGATACGTATGGTATCCTGACCTAAAAATCGTGATACGTATCGTATCGTGAGATTGGTGTATCGTGACACCCCCAGTGTTATCGGTTAATCCTTTGATCGATGTTTATAATGTTGAGTATTTACTCCAGACACAATTAAGAAATGCCAGATGGGAACCTTTGCCGGGTAATCTAAGTAGTGTTACCACTAATCATACCTGTTATAAATTCATTAACTGACCATCAAGTGAATGATGACAAATAACATGTGTAGGTTTATACCACCTAACATGGGTTACAACAAGGGAGTATTAATTGCTGTATTGCATGTGAAAACTTATGGGCCGACACTGTTTTGAGAATACAAACAGAACTTCATTGTTGCATAAGAAATACATATAAGCATTTGCTGTGTGCTAAAACTGTATGTACCTATTTACCTAAGTAAATTTCCAATTCTTCTAGCAATGGCAAAGTAGGGTTGTTTAGTTTACGGATTCAAATAAATCAAATGTCAATTTTTAATATCATACGTAATAGACGTCATATTTTTACATGACATGATTAAATATCGAGGTAAAACCCACAGAAATGGGATTAATTTGGATCAGTCATTATACCATCCAGGCATTAGAAAACCTGAAAAAGCCCACACTGCTTTGATACTTTATTACAATCAGACAAGAACTACCAGGGATATTTTCAAATAACTGCATCTGATGGGCATCCACCCTTCTTAATGTCACACTGTTTAAGTAGAAGGAATTAACCGTAACCGTGATGAACGAGGCTGATCATCGTTTTTGCTATCTCTAGCGTCTGGCTTGAACAAATAAGGCCTAGCGACACCAAGCAATTTTTACAGAATCGTCTATGAAAACAAGTTGTAACTCGGAAACTAGGCAAAGCAGGAGACAAAATTAAATGACAGTAGATTGTGAGAACATATAGCTTTCATTTTTCACAACAGTTGTCACGATTTCAGGTTTATACAAACCTGTAAACAAGATAATTTACCCCCTGAAATGTACATGAATTCTGCATCAGCCCTCATATCTATTCCTCATATGACGTCACAGAGACGCGCCGCTCTGATTGGTGGAAAGTTTGTTCGCTGGTGAGAATTGTGCACTGTTGTCAAAAAGGTTGACTTAAGTTAATTAAAGATGGAAATGAGTAGTTTTAATGACAGGGTTTCATTTATAACGATGCCAATTAGTGATTTATGTATTTGTACCCCCCTAGAGTATATGTGATCTTTAATATAAATTGAACTATATATAATTTGTTCTTGTTAAGATCACCACTTCAACTGATGTTCAGGAGAACAAACTGTGGCAGATTTAATTTCACAGTATAACTTTCTGTAGTAAAATGGTGAAATCATACTGTTACGATTTCAGCAACTTGGTCCCCTGAAAGCTGAGCCAAGTAGGGGCACACCTTCTGTCCACCAGGGCAGGAATCAGCTGGGTCCTCTAAAGTCCTCCGAGGGTCAGGGGACAGCAGGGTCATCACAGCTGGCACCTCTCCGGGGATCTGCAGGAGCTAGTCAGCCGGTAGGTCTTCACACACAGAGATTGTGTTATAATGCTGGTCCCCACCCCACAGTGGTTCTAGGATTGAGTAGGCTTCCTATATCTGAAATTTGTTGTAAACAACACGTGTGTAAGGTCCTCTTTATCTCATGGAAAAGTTTTCCAGGGTAGAGTAGGTCTGCATTATCTTAGGTTTTCTGAAAAAAACCCCCAAAACACTGTTGGATTTCAGGGTGAAGTAGGTACCCTGCATTTCATCTTTGTTGAATAAGAACTCGGGGGTGGGATGAGGATTGGATTCCAAGACAAAGTAGGTCCCGAGTATCCCTTGCATTCGACCTGCAGTATAAGACCCCAGTGGGGATTATGGCATAGAGTAATTCCAAGTATGATGCTGTTTTAGGATTTCGGGGGTTATGTCCTGCTTATTGTCCCCTGCCGCAACGCAGAACGGGGGACTATGTATTTAGTGGCGTATGTCCATAACGTACGTCCCGATTCTTGTTAACGCTATATCTCATGAACTGTAGTACCCAATGTCTTCAAATTTGGTGACTGCCTGCATTGGGGGATTTGGGTGACCTTGACCTTATCTTCAAGGTCACCGCGACACTTTGACCACTTTTCTAACTCTTGTTAACCCCCTGGGTGCCACATGGACATATATGTCCTTCCCCTTCAACCCTCAATTTGAAGTCCAATAAAAATAAAAATATCCCACGCACACAAATACACTTCACAGTGTCGAATTCTGCGAGAAATTTCCTGTTTCTTGATACTATCCACTATTATTTTAGACAAACCTCAAGTGCTGAAAATGACCTTTCAAAATAGGCTTCATCGAAATTGTTGCCATTTTTGACACAGTACGAAATCGCGATTCACAGCGTTATTTGCTGTATGTTTTGAAATGTGAAAATCAGATAATTACTGGGAGTATTGAATTTCAAAAATAACATATTCATGATCACTGATTTCAGTTTTACATGAAATCGCTAATGATAATTCTGAAGCTTTGCCAATGAATATTGAATCGGTTGGGATGTTTTCGAAAATACACTTACACGAATGCCGTGGAGTGCTTTCCGCCATATTGGATAATGTTTACAAAATCACGTTTCGCGAAGGTCGGTATTGAGACGTCATTTACATCACGTATATTTCATATTCAGATTCGAAAAATGCAGCACTGATTTCCCCATACATTTTATAATCAAATTACAAATGGTCTTTGTCACCAATACCAACTGTCTAGATAAAATGAGACGAAACATAATGGGTGTGAAAACGAACGCTGTGCTTGAAAGACTGCGCCTGTTTGAAATGTAAACAAAGACAAATTCCAATTTTACACTGCGTAGCATTTTCTGAAATTTTCCAACATTCATCCGTCTATTCATTGCTTGCAATGACTCAATACCTTTGGAATATGCATGGAAATAGTATCATAGCCATAGGAAATTATAAGTAGCTACAATGCAATGATCATATAATTCATAAGAAATTGTCAAAGTTTCCGTGTAGCGTGACGCCATGACTGACGCAAAATCACGCAGAACGACAACAGTAATTATCTGCATTTCTGGCTTCTTCTCTTACTTATAATAAAAACGATAAAAACATATAACAATACACAGATAGTCAGAATCATTCTGATTACAGTCATCCCTCGCAATAACACTCTTCACGATACCGCAGATTCGGTTAAACCGCGGGGTAATCTGTGGCTCCCATAAAGACGTTGCCCAGTGATCACACATATTCACGTCATCAAAAATAGCACATCAACAAATCCACTGTTGAGCTCTGGTTAATCACGTTGTAAACTAGTGAAATTCAGTGCGGATTGCAATTAACAGTGTTTATCGTACATATCCATGGTTTTTCACATGCTTAAAACATGCAGGTTTTTTTCAATAATAATAGATGAACAGCGAAACATCGTAATATCTTCATCATAAAGACACGCCATCAGCCTAGTACTTACAATGTTTGCTGTGATGCAACACACCGCGTAATTGCGCGGGTAAACACCGCCATCCGAGAATGTATGATGTCAGAAAACAAATTTTATTTGATTAAATTCAATCCCATTTTCATTCATTAAAACTGTTTACAATAACAACGGAGAAACCGTGAGTGAAATGGCATTACCTCATGCCATACAACGTCCACTTACCACATTCGTGAGGGTCCGTTTTTCGCGCCTACCGCGATAGCACCAATTTCACATTTTTCTCAGTAATCATGAACAGATTACAGCCTTGTCATCCATTGACCCCAAGACCCACATTATTGACTCATTGAAGTCATATTTGACAATTAATTGCCAACATTTTGTTTTTACAATAAAAGTGGCACGTAGCGCGGAAAGTCAGCGGTGACTTGTCAAACTGTCTCCTACGTAAAATGTATCCAGCCAGGTAACCGAACGTGCTTAGCAATGCTAATTATTATGTTAAATATGTTCGTAGAAAACATGCATTATACTTATATGATAGCAATATATAAGATCTCTGTTAGAATAACTGCTTGACATATAAATTATTCTGATAATGGAATAGAAATTCTTTGATGTTATATTTTCTGATCGTTTTTAACTGAATCACCGGTACATTGGACCAAAACATCGATCTGTGCACAGCTGATGGCTATTTCCGGCTTAGTTGAATAACAGGTAGCATGACAGGAACAACACCTCCAACAATACGATATAGTTTTGACTGGGCACAATACACGAAATAGCAGTCCATGGAAAATACGAGTTTACTTGGCCTTTGTTCCGCGTTATGTAATCGTTACTATAACGTTGGTGTCTAATAACGCGTGGGGTCATCCATGGACCCCAAGACCCGCGTTATGGCAAGGGATGACTGTACTTTACCTGAACTGTCGCAGATTTACTGTTCATTTGAGCAGTATACAACAAAGTAACTATGGTAATCACAATAATAGGTGGAAAATCAACGTCCTGGAATTGCATTTGGTAACTTTGGGTTGTACAATCAGTCTAAGTAGAGATTACTATTGGACTGCTACTTTTATCACATTAATGTACTCTTGTGTATTTTACATTATTGCTGTTGTGTATTTGTGTAGTTACATCATATTGACCTGTGTTATGGTTTGTGATGTGGTCAAGTGGTACTGTGGCCTTATGTCCAGTACTTCATGCACTAATGTTAGTAACATTTCAGTAACCATGGTAACCTGTATGTGATGTTCTGACATGATATAGCAGATATTTTCTGACTGTAGATCAAAACAAACACACTTGCTTGTTTAATGTAGAATGTAGATATTGTTGCAAATTAGAAGATAAAGCTACTCTGTTTTCAATTTTGCGGTCCTTTATCGTTGATTTAAGACCCCTAAATGTAATTTAAAAACTGAACGTGTTAGCCAATCAGAATTGAGTATCACACCATGTTGTGCTATAATTAGAAGATAAAGCTACTCGGTATATTTAATTTACACTGCTTGATCCATTGGTGAATTATAATAGTACAGACAATGTTATCATTGCCTTTTGTAGACAAGGAACGACAGTTTTAATGGTATGGTGGTTAAAGTTTATGAAATGTATCATTATATAATAAAACAATCATCATTCTGCACAGCAGTGTAACAAATCTTAATCAATGCCATGTTTAATAGACCATAACTTGTCAACATTGGAGCATCACAAGCATTAAAAGAGAAACTTACATTCAAATTATGTTGAACTTATCACCCAAAAAGGATATCATTTGAAACTGCTTAAGAGGTATCTGTCTCTAAATGAAATATATATTTTTGCATTTTTGCAAATACTTCAGTCATACTTTGATCCGTTTTCGACTCCTTAGAATGAATAAGGTCAAGTGCCTCTCCATGTTCATATTTCTTTGTATGCTTCACAACTTGTGATGGGGACAATCAGAAATGTCATTCTGTTTAAATATGCCCTTGAAGGATTAAAAATGTTCCTATTAAAAATGGAGTGGGACTAAATGTAGTCTTTCCCAGCATGTCCGTATTGTTTGTTCTGCTGTAGACATCTTGATGCTCTGTCTGTGATTGTTTACTGTGACATGCTGTGATTCAACAGATACGGTCCAGTATGAACACTACAACCGGCTCCCTGAAGTCCAGCAAGATGAACATGACCAGTAGCATGAGCATCCCCATCTACTCCACAGAGTATGACGATGAGGTAGGTGTTGTCATAGTGATGGTATGACCAGTAGCATGAGCATCCCCATCTACTCCACAGAGTATGACGATGAGGTAGGTGTTACCATAGTGATGGTATGACCAGTAGCATGAGCATCCCCATCTACTCCACAGAGTATGACGATGAGGTAGGTGTTACCATAGTGATGGTATGACCAGTAGCATGAGCATCCCCATCTACTCCACAGAGTATGACGATGAGGTAGGTGTTGCCATAGTGATGGTATGACCAGTAGCATGAGCATCCCCATCTACTCCACAGAGTATGACGATGAGGTAGGTGTTGCCATAGTGATGGTATGACCAGTAGCATGAGCATCCCCATCTACTCCACAGAGTATGGCGATGAGGTAGGTGTTCCCATAGTGATGGTATGACCAGTAGCATGAGCATCCCCATCTACTCCACAGAGTATGACGATGAGGTAGGTGTTGCCATAGTGATGGTATGACCAGTAGCATGAGCATCCCCATCTACTCCACAGAGTATGGCGATGAGGTAGGTGTTGCCATAGTGATGGTATGACCAGTAGCATGAGCATCCCCATCTACTCCACAGAGTATGACGATGAGGTAGGTGTTGCCATAGTGATGGTATGACCAGTAGCATGAGCATCCCCATCTACTCCACAGAGTATGACGATGAGGTAGGGTGTTGCCATAGTGATAGGTATGACCAGTAGCATGAGCATCCCCATCTACTCCACAGAGTATGACGATGAGGTAGGTGTTGCCATAGTGATGGTATGACCAGTAGCATGAGCATCCCCATCTACTCCACAGAGTATGACGATGAGGTAGGTGTTGCCATAGTGATGGTATGACCAGTAGCATGAGCATCCCCATCTACTCCACAGAGTATGACGATGAGGTAGGTGTTGTCATAGTGATGGTATGACCAGTAGCATGAGCATCCCCATCTACTCCACAGAGTATGACGATGAGGTAGGTGTTGTCATAGTGATGGTATGACCAGTAGCATGAGCATCCCCATCTACTCCACAGAGTATGACGATGAGGTAGGTGTTGCCATAGTGATGGTATGACCAGTAGCATGAGCATCCCCATCTACTCCACAGAGTATGACGATGAGGTAGGTGTTGCCATAGTGATGGTATGACCAGTAGCATGAGCATCCCCATCTACTCCACAGAGTATGAGGGTGACCAGGTGTTGATGAGGTAGGTGTTCCCCATCTACTCATAGTGATGGTATGACCAGTAGCATGAGCATCCCCATCTACTCCACAGAGTATGACGATGAGGTAGGTGTTGTCATAGTGATGGTATGACCAGTAGCATGAGCATCCCCATCTACTCCACAGAGTATGACGATGAGGTAGGTGTTGCCATAGTGATGGTATGACCAGTAGCATGAGCATCCCCATCTACTCCACACGATGGGGTAGGTGATGACCAGTAGTATGAGTCCACAGAGTATGACGATGAGGGTAGGTGTTGAGTGATGGGTATGACCAGTAGCATGAGCATCCCCATCTACTCCACAGGTATGGCCGATGAGGTAGGTGTTGCCATCCCCATCTACTCCACAGAGTATGAGTATGGCGATGATGAGGTAGGTGTTGCCATAGTGATGGTATGACCAGTAGCATGAGCATCCCCATCTACTCCACAGAGTATGACGATGAGGTAGGTGTTGCCATAGTGATGGTATGACCAGTAGCATGAGCATCCCCATCTACTCCACAGAGTATGACGATGAGGTAGGTGTTGCCATAGTGATGGTATGACCAGTAGCATGAGCATCCCCATCTACTCCACAGAGTATGATGATGAGGTAGGTGTTGTCATAGTGATGGTATGACCAGTAGCATGAGCATCCCCATCTACTCCACAGAGTATGATGATGAGGTAGGTGTTGCCATAGTGATAGTATGACCAGTAGCATGAGCATCCCCATCTACTCCACAGAGTATGATGATGAGGTAGGTGTTGCCATAGTGATAGTTTGACCATCAGCTTCAGAGAGTACGGCAATGAAGCAGGTGTTGTCATTGTGATGTTTTCAATCTCTGTTCCAAAGAGTATGATGATGAGGCAGTTCATTGCGTATGCAATGGCAGCATTGGAATCCTCATTTGGTTGTGTCTAGAACATTTGTACCTGAAAGTCAAATTCAAGATATTTGGCAAAAGCAGGCTTTGAATGTTGTTGCAGTTCTTTACTTCTATGCATTTCTAACTGATTTTCAGCTTGGAAGACTTGTCTCCCTTGTCCATTATTTTCCTACCACCATAGGTATTGTGGTAATGCCTGACAAAGACAACTGCTATGTTCTGCAATCAGAAATGACTTTGTCAGCTATCCCAATTACAGTATGTTCATATTTAAACATGCTGATTAAGATAAAGCAGTTCATTGTCCTGTTACCCTTGAAGATCGGGGTTAGAATAGGTCTTCAGCGACCCATGCTTCTTGTAAGAGGCGACTAACGGGATTGGGTGGTCAGGCTCGCTGACTACTTGACACATGTCATCGTATCCCAATTGCGTAGAACAATGCTCATGCTGTTGATCCCTGGATTGTCTGGTCCAAACTTGAATTTTTACAAACCACCGTCATATAGCTGGAATATTGCTGAGTGCGGCGTTGAATAAACCAGAAATCATTGTCCTGTTGACCTACACATCCAGACTGGTCATGTTTGTGTCACTCATTATGATCGTCATACTCACTGACTCCTTCCTGTTTTCAGGAGGACAAGCCTACAAGGAGGCTCCTGGATGACACACAGGATATTGGTGCACTTGGCTATGAAGTAAGTTGGCTCACAAGGCCATGTTGGTTTGGTTTCTACTTGACCACTCAAACTTAATCAGTACAGTCTTCACACTGGTCTGCGGGCTCGAAACAATTAAATTGTGCTGAGGACATGTAAAACTCCAATGATGGTCGTCCTCAATGATTAGTAACCTTTCAGGTCTGTATTTCTGACCCAGTTGGGGCAGTGGGATAGCTCTGTGGTTAAAGCGTGTGCTCGTCACACTGAAGACCCGGGTTCGATTCCCCACATGGGTACTATGTGTGAAGCCCATTTGTGGTGTCCCCCACAGTGTTATTGCTGGAAAATTGCTAAAAGCGGCATAAAAATAAACTCACTCACTCTGACCCAGTTGTCAGTGCTTCAATCTTTGTATGAATTGGAACTGAATAAAGCTGACAGAAAATGTGAACTTAGTAAACACTCATGTCATGTTTAAGCAGGAATAGCTACCAATTTGAAAATACTTGTAAAATAAGGTTTACACTAGTCCTCTGGATGAAATGTTGATAAGGTTGATTTGCTGAGGCTGTCTATTATATATCTTGACATTTAGAAGCTGTGGTATCGCTTACACTGATGGGCTCATTCTCATTTAGTGTACTACATAAATAATAATATATGCTGGCTAGATCCAAAATGCTTAAGGGTATCTACACTGTCTGTAGTCTGATTGACCAGGGTACATTTCTTTGTAGTAAAAGGGACATTGTAGCATCACCATGGTCACATGCTTGATGAAGCTAATGATATCTGAACTGAACGTTATTAAGAATATAGAAAAGAAACAAAAAGATGTTCCATGATCATGTTCATTAAAGTCAATTTAGTTTTACGCCACTTTTAGCAATATTCCAGCAATATCACACATTGTACCCATGTGGGGAATCGAACCTGGGCCTTCGGTGTGACGAGTGAACACTGTAACCAGTAGGCTACCACACTGCCCCCCATGTTCATTAAAACTGTTGCACATGCAGAATGACAACTCAGTTACTGAGTATGCTTTCTTTCAACAGGAATGAAACGTTTTATCATGCTTACTGTATGATGTATCTGTACATTTGTAAAATGTCATTGTGTACATTTAAAACTTTCATCATCATATCAAATGTCAAAAATTGGCATGTTCATTTGAAGCTTATTTAAACAGTTCTATTTTTCTTGTGCTTTAGGGCGGTGGGGTAGCCTAGTGGTTAAAGCGTTGGCTCGTCACGCCGAAGACCTGGGTTCGATTTCCCACATGGGCACAATGTGTTAAGCCCATTTCTGGTGTCCCCCGCCGTGATATTGCTGGAATATTGCTAAAAGCGGCGTAAAACTAAACTCAGTCAGTCAGTCTTGTGTTTTACAGGAATCTGATCCGGGGAGTGTGCAGGATCGAGCTCCCATCAAGATAGAGACGGACAGTGACAGTGATGACTACCAGAAGGATGTTGTAAGTAGCTTTTGCTGCCGCTACTCGTTGTACACAACTGCTCTGATTTTTTTCTGCATTGCTGTCATCAGTTGTGTATGGTTCATATATGTTTCAGAATTACCAATATCATGAGTTTCTTTACATATCCCTAAAAAAACAACATCACCTTTGATAAATCCAGATATCAACAATAGTCTAGATACAGCTCTTCTCCATGTATGTCAGTAATTGAGTGATTTAGTTTTTAACACTGCTTTAAAAAGTACTCAGGTTACATGATACTTGGTCTGGTGAATGTGGGAAGAGAGCCTGGAGTGTAACAGACCTCAGAATTTGACCACTATAGCGAAACCCATGAGCATGGGTATGGGGCTGACTAACTAGAAACATGTTCAGGACAAACCGGTATTCGAACCCCTGTGTGTGTATGTTTGTAGTTCTCATGTGTTTGAACATGGAGTCAACATGACATAAATACAAAACATTAGGTTACAGTGAATCAATTGTCAGACATTTATTCAGAAGTATTGAAGTTTGAATCATAGTGATTTTCCTCAGCCGTAGGTACTTTGACACAATATAATAGTATGAAGCAGGATGTGTGGTAGTGGGCAGGTGCAGATGAACATCTTGTGATGAATTTATTATGGTTGGATACCCCAAGTTTCTCACACTTGAGTTTACATGGGTGTTAATTTATCATGTAGATCACGAGAAAGCCATGCTTGCAATAAGGGACAGTACAGATGGGGTTCAGGCACTCACAGTGTATGGGCAGGCTGACTGTGTGTGATCCAACCTCTGCCTGTGCATGTCTGGCCCAGAGCTGATTATAGTACATCATGATATATAACTGCTGTCTGTGGCATAAACATGGTACACTTACTCCTACTCAAGTGTTCTGCTTCCTGCCTTCCAGGACTTCTTCATCAACAGCAAGCTGAGTGAGCAGCTGATGGACATCGAGACGATGGACCCCGTAATGAGGAAGTCGCTAGAGAAGGTGAGACATGTATGATATAGTACATCATTGGAAGGCAGGGCTTGTGTCAGGCAGTGGGGGTGACAACCCAAGGGACATAATACTTCCTCCAAATTTCCTTTAAGAATCTGGGCACTTCTTCTTGAAGATTTAGGCTATGTAACACTACTCCATGCTATCATTATTTGTCAATTTATTATTCTGGATGTTGTTATTCTTAACTCTAACTTCGTTTAAAGTAACTTTCCTGATGCATTTTTGATGAGTTAAGCTGCTTCAGATTCAGTACTATGGAGTGCACAGATTTGTGAAAATTTTTATCCTGAATTTTAATTTTTGAACTGTTCATCATGACCATTGAAGTGTAACTGTATGTCAATAACTGTACATGAGATCTGTCCAGTATAAAAGGGTTCTAAGTTAATCAATGACCACATCTGAATGACACAGGACCTAGCCTTCCATCAACAGTTGTTTCAGTAAGCTCCTCTAGATGACATTTAACCAGCTGTCTGTTACCCTCATGTATCAAATACATACCTGCATGTATCAAGTCAGACATATAGAAAGATTGCTATACATATTCTTGCCTATAGCAGTTTTCACCCTAGCTCTTCATAAATATAGCTTGTGATTTTGGATAAGAGTTCAACATACTGTGAGTTACAAGTGTCTGGAGCGAGGTGTATTGGGACTTAGTTTTTTTAGGGTGGACATAATTATTTAGCTCATAAAATCTCATAAACCTTGGTATTAACATACGTAACCATGTATGTCAGCAACCATATGTTACTAATAATAAGTATTTGCCAAGTGCGGCATTAAACAAACAAGCAAATCCTCTGTTAATTATCAGGTTGGTATTTGCCTTGATTACAGTGTATGAACCGTTAATGTTGAACCTGCCATGGTTATTTCAGCAAATAGTTACACTGATGTATTGACTTTCTCAGTTGTATCCAGGAAGCAGATACCAGGTACGGTGTGTCCTGCTAACTTGTCTCATCACAAGCACGGTCTTATGGTTTTCGCAATCTGGTTTCTTGCAAGGCTAATCCAAACACCTTCATCTTGACAGTTTATTTTGATCTCATTTGAACTTGAAGCATTTCTTCCAGTTTCTTATGTTCCTAGGATTAGGATTTACAGCACCCTTCCCATGTGTTTAGATTCAGTCGTGCCCCGTTTATCCGAACCTCAGATATTCGGAAAACTCGCCTTCCGAATGAAAATTCCTCAAAACGAATTCACAATGTTGTAAAATTACTCACATATCCGGAAATCCGTTTTTCGTAACCGGACGGTCATTTTCACATACAAAACGCTAAATTATATGCATTTTTTTCTCGTATATCCGGATGGCTGAGCACCTGTCAGTATGTTCACACACACATTTTACCGAGTGGCCTTGCGTTCCCTAACATAAAAGAAGTCGGCAGTCTCTGAAGCGTGAGAGGATTAACTACCTGTAATAAGCAAGGTGACACTGAGTTAATTTTGAGTTGTGATTGCCAAGGCAAGACGTCCCCGTTGTTTTGGTAGTGACTTTAATCCGGAAGTTAGGTACAGGAATAATGTGAACGCGTGGATGACATCAGAACTGATTTGTGATTGGTTGCTAGCATTTGACAGACAGATGCATGTACAGGCATGTACGTCTGAGACATGTACGTCTGAGGTCTATTATGTTCGTTTCTTTGTATGTCTTTTTACATACGGTCCGTGGTTCAGATATCCGGAAATTCGTTTATCAGGACAATTTAAAAAAAAAACATAAGTATCCGGTTAAACGGGACACGACTGTATATGTATATACAGCTCACTTGACTGGATGTCGAGTGGGTTTATGTCATGGTGCATCGTCAGTTTACCATCTGTCAGTTTGTCAGGGGGTCCCCTGCCGTGATTTTGCTGGAATATTGCTACAAGCGGTGTCAAACCATACTCACTCACTCTGTTTGTCAGGTCTAATCGCAATCAGATTTAAAAGATCTCTGCACACTTTTCATCATTTTTTTCACTAGCTCGTGTGCCTTTGTGGCTGTGAGTAGAACCATGTAGAGAAGATAAGTAGATTGTTGAGCCCTCTGCATAAGCACTTAATGCTGTATTATTGCATGGTTTCATAATGTTTGTTCAGTGGAAACTTTATTTTGGGGTATTTACCCTTGTAGGACCTGTTTTTGTCTTATATGATATGCCAGAAAAATGAAAAGAAACGGTATGATACTTTGTGGATGACACCTTTATTATTTGATGATACAATGTGTCGGTATAGATTCCTATACCATTGTGAAGATAGAATGACTATTAATGACTTATAAAGAAGCTCTCATCCATAAGAATCACACCTTTTCTTATTATTCATCAACTTCTAAAATGCCAATCACACAGAAAAGTAAAAGTGAGCTATGGAGCCTTGTGGGTCTGTTTCGAGAAATATAATGATATGAAGTGTAAATATTTTAGTGTTACGGAGTTTAGCGAAATGTCATGTAGCTGTATCTGTGATGAAGATGATTATGTATTGGTGCGTCATTAGAATCATCATCCCCCAGGTGTTGCCCTGCCCATGTTTCACAGCTTGCCCTCTCTCCAGCTACAACAAGCCTCCCAACATGTTCCCCACCTCTGCGCTTCAGGAACATATATTCTGCTTCATAAGAACGATTCGTTTAAGTTAATGTTTATGGATTTATTTTCCAAAGCAAACCTACCTGTACTCTACAAAGGGACTAGTGAATTGATTGGTCACAGTTGGGCATGGGTGTGGATTGTGGTGGGACAATTGGCAATCTTAGATGACTACATTGGTACAGCCGATTTATTGTCAGAAATACCCACCACAGAAAAACTTCAGTAGAAAGATGTCTAAACTGCATTTGAAAAGTCTGAAAGACCTTTTAATTTCCCCCCAACCCCAACAAGCATACAACCTGTTCAGACTTGATAAGGTCACATGTAGATCTGGGGAAGGAAGGAGGTGAGCATGTCAGAGTTACCTGCCCTTGGTTATATCCTACACTTGATTACTGATGCTGGCTGCCTTCTCAGGTCTTTGCAATAACCACTGTAATAGCTGTATGAATACCACGGAGTGTGTTTGGCTTGGTGGTGACATGGACACTTGCACAGAGTGCTGTGACTGCTTGAGGAGCCCTTTGAGGGAATGAATGAGAGCACAAAACATTAACAGTAGATTAACAATATAGCACCAGAGGGTTAACATCTACAGATTATCCATGTAATAAGAATACATTAGCAATGGATGCTGAAGACTTGGTGGTGGCTGGCAGCCCCTGATGTGTTACTACAATAAATGTGCTACTTGGATGTCAACTGTAATTTGTTGTATATGATTTATTAATTAAGATACTATACTGGACAAAATAAGTTAGGGATATTGGCATTTTTACGATTGATATTTTATCAGTGTGTCAATGAATAAATAAATCATTATTCATAATTTCAAAATTTACATATATCCCTAACTATTTTTGTCCAGTATATTATATTTGGGGGTTGATACTGATAAGGTAATTTGGGCCTAGTCATATAACAGAAATACTGACAAGTGCAGTGTTAAAAACAAACATAATTAGGATGAACTTGGGCTACAGGGGTGTTTGCTTAACCTTGTGTTTTACAGTTGTCAGGATACATCTCTATGAAAGTTAGCAGCACATTTTTGTGATACAAATACTAAGGAGCTGCCAGAATGATAATATTAATTCATATGCTGCATGTGATAGGTACTAAATCACGGTCATCTGGTAAGATGATGGATGTAGTCACTGGTCTGGTTAGCCAGTGGCACCACATTTTGTTTGCAGAGTTGCATCCCTTTGTTGTGTCAGGATCCACTAGTGGGTTTCACTCCAGGATTGTGATCCTTGTTCTTTTTATCTCCAGCCATATTCCAGGTTTTCATCAGAGTGGTCATTGATAACTGGCTACACTGATTGAGGGGGAATTTTATTTGAATTTATGTGCAAGTTATATTTTGAGGGAAGTGCTGCAAAACAACCCTCAAACAAGGTATATTACTTATTTATGTATTATGTGGAGTTTTTACTTCTGTGAATGAGTTAAGTCTAAACATATGGCACATTTCTCATAGTGTTATTTAATGCAAAGAAATATGGAATTTGTCTGTGTAAGATAGACATGGCAGACGCCCTGCTGGCTTTCTGTATTTAGATTGTGAAATAAACCTTTCATTTGTAAATAGTCTAGTTTTCCATTTTTGTGAAACATCTGTTAATGGTTATTGCACATAGTTTTCATGTCATGAGTGTGTATTCTTTTATGAATTGTATCTAGGAGTGTTTTGGTTGTCATTTAAACCTTCAAAGTAACCTGATGTTTTTTAGATGGATATGTTGTCACAGCCAGAGAGTAACCATGACAACAGAGTTATAACATTGACAATAGGTTCTCATTGTATTTGCACTGGCTGTTTTGTATGCCAGTGAACATGCCCCTAAGACAGGAGTAGTATGGGTGCAAAGATGTATGTGCCAAGAAATCTTTCACAATTTGTTGTGTTTCAGTATACCAATCTTGTTTTTTTTTATGAGAAGTGTGATGATATTTGACTGAGCTCATTATAACATTATAAGCACCGAGTGTGGCTCCCTGTGTTGTTGATCTGTAGTGCTATTCTTCATATTTGATTAGGTCTCAAGGAATCTGTCCTCATAGTAAGAGGCAGGGTACTAATGGATGGGACAGTGGCTTGAGGATTGTGTGTCATCCTACCCTCATCGTACCCTGATGGAGTGGATCGTTGCTCACAATGTCAATCACTTGATTGCTTGGTCCAGACTTGATTACCTACAGGGCATGACACGTGAAGGTCTGGGTTAGAATTCACCTTCAGTAACCCATGCTTGTCGCAAGATGCTACTCACGGGATCAGGTGGTCAGGCTCACTGACTTGGTTGACACATGTCATCGGTTCCCAATTGCACAGATCGATGCTCATGCTGTTGATCATTGGATTGTCTGGTCCAGACTCGATTATTTACAGACCGCCCCTATATAGCTCGAATATTGCTGAGTGTGGCGTAAAACTAAACTAACTCAATCACCTACAGGGCAATGACATATAGCTGGAATATTGCTTGTTGAACTGATATGCTGTTGTTGATCTTTGAGTGTGATGGTATTATTGATCTTCGTGTCAGATGGTTCTGTTGATCCTCGAGTGTAATGGTTCTGTTGATCCTCGAGTGTAATGGTTCTGTTGATCCTTGTGTGTGATGCTGTGGTTGATCCTTGTGTGTGATGGTATTATTGAGACTCATGTACAATGGTTCTGTTGATCCTTTTGTGCGATGCTGTGGCTGAACCTTGTATATAGTGATACTATATGATAGTCATGTGTAATGCCGTGATTGGTCCTACAGGACATCGAGCTGACATCGTCTCTCAAGTCCACGGCCAGAGAGAGTCCTCTGGAAGATGACAGGAAGAAAATGGCAGACATGGCAGCTTCTGCTGCAGACAGGTCAGTTTCACCAGTGGCTTCATGGCTCCTTTTGTGCATTCCTTTGGCCCCTTGTGGGCTCCTGTACTGCTTAACAGATCCCCAGTCTCACTTTTAGTAGGACTTTATTGAGGATCAGATGGTTACAATGGGTGACTGTGTGGCATAATGATCACTCTATTCAAAACCAGATTTTGCTTACTGTTGATTGTAAGCAGTCTTCACTCACATAGTACTGCAGGATGTCCATATAACTATCCTATCCCCTTTTGAGAACCTTAAGAAGTTCATATCTTGAAAAGTGTGACAATTGAGTCCTTATTAGCTAATATCAGGGTATGAAATAAGCCAAAAACTCAACCAGACATCAGGGCTGGTAACTTCAAAATGTTACCAGCCCAAAATGGATTTAACCAGATCAGACAATCCAAAGAAAATAATCAATTCATATTTAGTCAGTGCTTTGAGCTTGCGATGCGATAGTTCAATGTTCAAACAGTAATTGTAAAGTGTAAATGTAACGCTCAATTTGAAGAATAGATTTCAAGATATGTTTCATTTGCTCAGATGTATGGAATATGTTATCTAACATTTTTTACCAGACCATCGGGCTGGCTAGCTGTAAATTTAGACCGTCCGTCAGAAATCTAGCCTGTCTCGGGCGATCGGACGGGCCTTATTTCATACACTGCTTTATCTGATGTGTTGGAATTTGATTGGTGTAGCATTAATTAATAACCCATTTTGACATGTTATTTTAAGGTGTTGGACTTGTCCCTGGCTTTTAATAGTTACCTGGTTGAGATTATGCTGTTGTCCCCTTAAAGTCATGGTGGTATTGTTCATGTTGTCAGACGTCTGGTGAAAGACGAGGAACACAAGGTGCAGACGGCAAATGACCGGGCTATCAATGACATGAAGCGACGCATGGAGAAAGAGCTAGAAAATGCCAAGCTGGAGCTGTTGGAGGTCAGTAACCAGCGAGTAGGTCACAGAGACCTCAGCATCATTACACAATATATAGACAGGCTTATCTTAATCACTTCACTCTGGTGAAGATTTGGTCATTATGACAAGCTGATTGATAAGCATCACATATTCACCATGATTGGGCAGTTAAGCTGTTAAAGCATCTCACACCAGCTTCGACTGCCCTCATAGGCACACTGTATGAAGCCAGTTTTAGGTATCCCAACATGATATGGCTGCAATAGTGCTGAAGTCAAGAGTGAAACCCTACTCATACAGGGTTTCCATACAACTGTTGACATTTTGCATTACTCTATTCAAAAACGTCTGACATGGTATCAGCTATCACACATATTTCACTAAATATACCCTGAATACTGTTGAAACCCAACTCACTCACTTTGTGAAGACAGACAACAGACACAGATGTCTGTACGGGCCATGGTGTGTTCCAGGACAAGGATGCCCGGCTGCGGAAGCTGAAGGCGGAGATCCGACGGGAGCAGGAGGAAGAGGAGAGGAAGCTGAGAGATGAGAAAGAGGAGAGCATCAAGTGAGTCCTGCTGTCTTTGTCACATAGATGACACCAGCAACGTTTGGTTTGATGTCACTAGAGAGGCTAGCACCAAGTAGAACAAGTAGGCAAGCTGAGCAGGAGTTTGATTTCTATCATGAGTTGAACCTGTAATGCTGCTAGTTGTGAAGGATTTGTAAAATTTCCTGATTCTTTTAAGATCTCGCTATAAGCATTTTGAATGCCTTCTTCACATTGTATATATCGTTTCTAATAATTTGATTTGTTTATTACAGTTACTTTATTGGTAAAGGATATTAAAGTCTTTATTGAACATACATTGTGGGTGACAGTAACTGTGTATGTTGTTTTTGTCAGTTGATGTGCTTGATTAACACTGACACTAGATGCTCTAAAGGTAGTTCTAGAGGTTTTCACTGCAGGAGGTAGTCTTAGAGATTTTCACTCAGAGACATTAATGTTTTTCTTCTGATTACTTTGCGTGCTTAGGACTGATGTGTGTAGTTTTATCTTCAGTAGTGTCTCATGTCATAGTGACTAAGCATACAACACATGCATTTGATGATTTCTTCATGATAGACAGATCATCAAGTATCATTATTTCAATAAGTTCAAGGTATACGCCCTCCCATCTCAGTCATTCATTTATTCTATCATCATGATCATGTACAAGATGTGCCATTGTATTTCATCCTGTTTTTGAGCATGTTGGGTGAAACCATTCTTTTTTAATCTGTATGAAAGTTCCCGAACAAGCTTTTAACTGACACTATGATTTGTGAAATGCCCCCCAAAATGTTCCATTTGCTTAAAAGAAATTTACGCTAAATTTTGTCTATTCAAGATATAAGGAAAAGAAGAGAAATGAAAAATGCAAAAAATTTGTTAGTATCATTGAAGACACAACATGACTGATATTTGCCAGAAATTCATAACATAGAGGCACCATCCATGCATCGTAATACTCCATGATGTAATACTGACTAGTGAGAAGTGGGCCTATGCTGGACGTTAGTGTAAGTTGTCATGTGAGCGCCCCCTACACTCATGTGCTTCTCTCTCCGTGGAGGCCATGTTAGACTGGCCGAGTCGCTGCTGCAGGCACAGGCTGAGCAGGAGCGCGAGGACCTGAAGGATGCCACGAGAAAGTGACCTTAGTGATCTCCGGGAAGAGTGTGAGAGAAAGAAACAAGAAGAGGAAAAGAAACTGCGGTAGGCCAGCATGCAGGATGAGGGCGGACGTTTCATGCTTTGAACATAATCATTCCTTCTGACTTTCATTTTCCGCTCATTCATTCAGTATTTGTGGTCCCTGTTTCTTTCTTTTATATCTGGTGTGTTTCGTTTCTTTGATGTATTTCTTTGCTGTTTTATTCTGACTCCATAATGTTTGAATTTGTTGATAACATTTTTGTAGAAAAAGTTTCGATCTCAGAAATTGCACAAACTAAACTAACATGCTTTTATGTTCTTAATGATGTTTATGTAATTTCTCGACCTTTTTTGTAAGTATTGTGTCTTTTGTTCAATTTGTTTTGATTTTTTTTTCTGAGTTTATGGTTGTTTTGGTTCCCACTTATACATACTTTTGTGCACATAATTGTCATATTCTTTTTCAGTATTGTTTGTTCGATAACTGAGTGTTTTGCTTTAGAACCACAACTTTTGTTAACACTTTGACAAGCAAGAATAGGTGAAGTAATACCCAGCTTTTATGATCGCTGTATGTGAGCTTTCATGACAAATCAGTGCTTATTATAGTCTGTACATCAGTCTCAGACTGGACGAGTTTCACAACAAGTTTGTGATGTAAATATAGCATTAACCTCCTTTATTATCATATGAGAACTGGCTTCCAGTTTTAACACGCTAGCATTACTGATATTAGCGATGATAGTCTAGGCTATGGTCTTGAAATAACACCAGACATGGTGTGTAGATTACCAGTTATGTGTTTCTCCACAACAGGGAGGAGATGCAGCTTGCTCTACAGAGACTCCGTGAGGAGGTGAAGTCACTACAGGCGGAGGAACAGGATAAGCTGGAGGAGGAGAAGGCTAAGGCCCTGGATAAACTCCACTCACAGGTACGCTTCAGTCCGATAGACTGGAAGAGTATTCAAATCTTGAATTTCTGAGTGAAATCTTTGTGTTTACTAAGACGCTACAAATATGCCTGCTGAGTAGAACTCTGGAAAGACAGCTTGTGTCACCCATACTGTTTCATAAAAGCATTGTGTAGAATGATTCTGCCATTACTCAGAGACAAATAGTTGGGAAGAACTGATACTGGAATTACCTTTGAGAGTTAAGTCCTTAGTCCTCCAGAATCTGATGATCACAGGTTAAATTGTAGACTTGCCATTAGTATGATTCTTAGTTTCTCAGCACAGTACTTGTGCTTGTGGTTTTCACAGGGATGGAAAACATTGAGGGTTGTCTGATGTTTGAGCGGTTCAAATCACTTTCCAAGCCACATCATGTTTCTGTGTTGTACAATTGAAATGTTTTTCAAGCAGCATGAAAACTAAATTGATTCTCTCAAATATATGCAAGAAAAAGTATTTTTAACTGTAAAAATTTGATCATATATACGACAAAGTTTTAGTTGAATACTTGTCCTGAATTGGTTGAGAAGGTGTAGTCACTGGCTGGAGATGCACAGCATGGTGATGTTTGCAGGTGGACATTGCATTGTCCAGCGAGAGGGAGAAGCTGGAGGCAGAGCGCAGCAGGAAGATGGAGAAGATGAGGTCTAAGCATGCCCAGGAACTGGAGGACCTCGAGAATGATCTGGAGAGGAAGCACAAGGCCAAGGTCGATGACCTTAGGTCTGACCTGCAAGAGAAACATTCAAGGGTTGGTAGTTACTAAATGTGTGTTTAACTCTTTTTCTCTTATGACAGTTCAAATGCAGCACACTATGCTGATGTCTTGTGTAGGTCAGTGGTTAAAAGTTATGCTTTCAGTCAAATAGTTCTGGGTGACAACTTTGTTACCTGTTAAGGACTCACAATCACATGACAGTCAGTGTTTGAAATTAAGTATAAAGAATGAAACTGCCATTGATAATGTTACAGCTACGCGATGAAGACAGTGTTTTGATTAAAATACTATGCCCCAACTCAACTCGACTCACTTATTTTCACCACTGATATTGAGATGATTCCAGAAATTAGGTTGAATTGTAGATTAGATTTAGTAGCTTTAGTTATTGGTGACTATTGATGCAGGCGATGAGTGAGATGAAGATGGAGGTGAAAGCGGCTCCAGACGGAGCAGAGCGAGCAGCAGGAGCAGGAGCTAGAGGCAGCCCAGAAGAGGCAGAGGACCATCAACGACATGGAGAAAGGGGTCTGTACACAACTGCATCTAACCATGCACTAGTCATAAGGCTGTTTAGATTAATATTGCCTGTTTATGAGATTGGGGAGAAAATTATCAACGTTTCTTAAAAGCATCTGAAACCCATAACCGAGGATACTAAATGTGAGATGTAGAGGGTGTGGTTCTGCTTGCAGCTGGATGAGGTTCTGGCGGAGAGGAGGCAGGAGATGAAGGAGAACCAGAAGAAGAGACTGGAGAAGTTGAGGAAGGATCATGAGGAAGAGCTAAGGAAGATGCAAGAGGAATACAAGAACATGGTAAAATGGGAGACATGGCTGTGGTGGACTGCAATTATGCTATGTCAGATATGTAAATAGGGATTCAGTCTGTTTGGGGTTCTCTAGAAAACATGTATATGGAAATGGGTATATTCTGAGATGAGTATCCTGTTTTGTTTATCCAGTAATGAGTAACCTGTGATGAGTATCGTGCATTGTGTATTCAGTATTGAGTATTCAGTGTTGAGTATCCAGTATTGAGTATTGAGTATCCAGTGTTGTTTTTCCAGTATTGAGTTTTTAAGTATTGAGTTATCTATTTTGAGTATCCAGTGTTGAGTATCCAGTATTGAGTATTGAGTATTGAGTATTGTGTATCCAGTGTTGTTTATCCAGTTTTGGGTATCCAGTGTTGAGTATTCAGTTTTGAGTATCCAGTATTGAGTATTGATTATCCAGTTTTGAGAATCATGTGTTGAGTATTCATTATTGAGTATTCAGTATTGAGTATCCAGTATTAAGTATCCAGTATTGAGTATTTAGTATTGAGTATCCAGTATTGAGTATGGAGTATCCAGTATTGAGTATGGAGTATCCAGTATTGAGTATGGAGTATCCAGTATTGAGTATGGAGTATCCAGTACTGAGTATTCAGTATTGAGTATCCATTATTGAGTATTCAGTATTGAGTATCCAGTATTGAGTATTCAGTATTGAGTATCCAGTATTGAGTATTCAGTATTGAGTATCCAGTATTGAGTATTCAGTATTGAGTATCCAGTATTGAGTATTCAGTATTGAGTATCCAGTATTGGGTATTCAGTATTGAACATCCTGATGTGAGTATGGAGTATTGAGTATCCAGTATTGAGTATTGAGTATCCAGTATTGAGTATGGAGTATTGAGTATCCAGTACTGAGTATGCTGTATTGAGTATCCAGTATTGAGTATTCAGTATTGAACATCCTGATGTGAGTATTCAGTATTGAGTATCCAGTACTGAGTATTCAGTATTGAGTATCCAGTATTGAGTATTCAGTATCCTATTGTGAGTATTCAGTATTGAACATCCTGATGTGAGTATTCAGTATGGAGTATCCAGTATTGAGTATCCTGTGTTGAGTATAGAGTGATGTATATGGGTATAAGTCGTTATAAGTATGTGTCTGTCTTTCCAAGATTGCCAAGGAACAGAGGAACCTGACGAGCACCTTTGAATCTGAGAAAAGGAAACTTGAGAAGCAGCACAGCCAGGAGATGGAGAGTCTGAAGCGTCAGTGTGCCCGGAAGAGAGAGAGTCTGCAGGAACAGCTGGAGGATGAGGTGAGGGAGGAGCTGTAGATATCTTCCTCGTCCTGTAGGTCTCTGTGTATCCCCCAGATCCATGGTCTAGTTGATGGAGCATTGTGAACAATCTTGCCCATGCTCTTGTTGTGGTATATACCATGTATCATCATGGTTCCTTTAGCTATGTCTCAACAAAGACGTGTTTGTTTTACAGGAAGAAGAGATCCGTGAAAAGAGTGCTGATTTAGAGAGGAAGAAAAAGACATTGAGAAGAGTTTTAAGAATCTGGACATTGAAGTAAGTATATAGAAGCCTAACTTAAATCCACACAAGATAGTTGGCTAATTTTAATATGTTACAGATGTTTGTAACAAGTACAATGATTTGACAAAAATGTGAAAGATTTTCAAGTTAATGATGTGATGATATGTTTTTCAGTAATGGTAGACAATAGTACTGGCAAACAAGGATAAGTTGAACACTGACCTGATAACTGACCCGTATTAGCATGTATGACTTCCGCCCACTGGCGCTTGCCATTGTGAGCGAAAGGGCCCCAGGTTGTCAGCGATCAAGTGTAGTGCTACACCAATCACGTGAGAGTCTTATGAGCAAGGCGTGTGCAGCCACACGCGGAATCAATTTCATCGTCATGCACTGCACATGCACTAGCCTACATCTGCTCTACCCTACACAAACCAAATGGGTTTGCTCATTGCCATGCACCGCCTACTTCTCATAAACGCGTTTTCTACGCCAGCCCAACTTATCCTTGTTTGCCAGTAGTTATGGTTGAATATTCCATATGTTCCATTCCAAGGTCAGGCATACATCATTATGCCATAGTGTTATGACATATTACACAGCTCTGTAAACATTGTAGTATGATCATTTGGACGAAATCCATGCATAAATTGTTTTCAAATTCAATATGTTAACTTGGTTTACAATATCAACTTCATGACATTTTTGTCTAAGAGAATGCTTGTTATGCTAAAACATCTTCTGCAACACTGAGTGCCCATAAGCTCCCTTGATTGAAACAAGCTGTTGTTTGGTTGTGTCCAGGAGCAGCGGATGGAAGACAGGAGAGAGAAGTTCCGAGAGGACCAGAACAGATTTGACCAGCAGCAAGATGTGAGTAGAGACGCTATTAATGTTGAATGTTTCAACAACTATTTGATGCACACACTCAGAATCATGTCAAACCTTAACAAAATACTGCAAATCTTCATTTTGTAATGCTACATGTTGTTTGACTGTCATTGTTTCAAATATGAACATTGTCCTCGATACCGATAGGTATGCTGATCCATATTTTGTCTTGTTATATGAAGTCCATTGATAGTCTTAATATAACTTGAGTGTTATTTGCCATTCAAGCACCCCTAACCAACTTCTAGATATGCATCCCTTCAGAACTGATGTTTATATGAATTATTTTGAGTTTAGTTTTACGCCGCACTCAGCATCCCTTCAAAGAATTGATGTTTATATGACAGTCAGGTGTGTCGCCTCTTCACGACAAGCATGGGTTACTGGTGTATGACTCAGACAAAGAAGGGATGTAGAAATACCTAGTAATGTATTGAAAATAATTGTTCCTTACTGGTCAATATATGTAAACAAGTTTTTCTCACTGTGTATAGATTTGATAAAAGCCTGCAGGATTCAGGACATATATTTTGTGTAGTTTATTTCATAGACAGTTATATATTGTGATATTTTCAGGATGCTTTTGGTAACCGAGGCCAGTCTCTGTCAAGCCATGAGTTGGAGAGAATGAGAGAAGAGAGGAAGCAGCTTCTGGAAGAGATCCGGATGGCGAGGACAGATGTGGAGGACTTCAAGAAGGAAAAGAGGACACTGGAGGGGGATGTCCTGAAGCTGAAGATGACGCGAGACCAGAACACTCGCAAACTCAAGTAAATAATCTCATGATGTTATCTAACTAGTCTATTTAACTGCAGAGCTACAGATAACTTTTTGGGTCATTGAGTTATGTACTTGCTTGTGTTCATCTCAATTGGGTATCCTAATTTTCCTTTGAGTAACCAAATAAATTGTACTCATCCCACTCAAACTCAATTGCGTATTTTGCCATTTCCATTAATTTTAAAAATATAATAAAGTTTAAATGTTAGTGTTTGTTATTTACATTTGATCTGTAATTTGATCTGTAATATGAGATAGAACCGATAAGAAAGACTTCAAGTTGTACATTTTCATGTGTTCATGTCCTATGTAATAGACCTAATAGTTGTTTTATCTATCCACCTATCTGTACCTCTGTAAGATATGGACATTTGAATATGAATGAAAACATGTAAGATCACATTGATTGAGTATTTACAAAACTATTCAAAGCGTCATGGTTTGGGTTTGTCTTGAAGCAGACGCCTGAAATGACAAGAGACTGTATTTAGTTAAACCTACTTCCACTGCATAGTTAGAGTGAGTAAACTATGTCTGATTGTCCTTCGTCCATTTGTCAGTGAACTGAAAGAGAAGTTGGACAAGAAGACCCAGGAACTAGATAAACTGCATCTTCGCATCAATGAAGCTATTGAAGAAAACGAGACAGCTGGCCGTCAGCTCTTGCACAGTACGGTCAAAGTGGCTGACCAGACAGCTGGACGACTATTCTTGGATGACCTCAACCACACAGACAGGAGGACCAGCAACCCACTTCTCAGTGATGATGACTCCTCAATACAAGGTGAGGCTTAGGAACTATGTACGTGACTTGGATTCCCCCAACTGATAATTGATATAAATTTACAAGTTGTTTAAACTGAGGTTTTATTATTAGAAATTGGTATGTAGTGCTGAAAGCTTGTCACACAAGCTGATTAAGATTTGTAACTGTGAAAGTGATTACTGCAGTCACCCAACTTTCTTGAATTACTTGTACACATATTACACAGTGCTTGCATTACTGATGTTGTGTGTAAAACCAACTAGTTACTGATGTTGTGTGTACTACTTACCATACTGTAGCCCCTCACACAATGTCTCTGCCAGACACACATACATACATTATAAACCAATCAATGTTTTCCTTTCCATCAGTGCCTATACCTAGCTCCAAGAAGAAGAGTGTGCGGATGACAGATGATGCCGAGATGGTATGTGTTTGGTCATTTTCCAGATGCATTGGAATACCTTTGCCACAATTGACCCCAAGAATGTATGTTTATGATGTTCAAAATCAAATACAAGGTGGTGTTGAAGTGATAATTTTGCAAAGTATAATATTTCATATGTGAATGTATATAGAAATATGTTATGGGGTGCTAGGGGACCAGGAAATTACCTATTTTAGAGATATATGCTAGTTTTATATCTTGATATTGTGATATTCTCGTCGGTTTTACTGTCCTTCGATGACAGGTTTTATAATTTACCATAAATTACTATGTATAACAATTAAATGTTCTTGTCACGATATGGCTGAAATATTGCCGATGTGACGATAAATTATAACCCACTCACTCACTCCAGGAAATTAATTACATAAAGTCAGTAACATATGAATTTGTCAACAATGGAATTCCCTTGTGTACAAGACTTTGAGTTTCAAGTGTAGTTTATGAACATGTTTGGCAGATGTTTATTGGGTAAAAACCCCAATGATGCCTCTTTGAACAGAAAGTGTCTTAGTCTGACTTGGATTGGTCTGATCCTCGCCACGGTTGATGTTGTAGATCTCTGCCAGTGTGTTGGACATGTTGTCTGATGATGAACCAGAGTCTTTAGGGACAGGAACCGTCAGTAGGTAGGTCAAGCCTGCAGTACTCTACTGCAAGTACCATCTTCTGTTATGGTGTATCTCAGCTTGCTGCTGGTTTTCTAAACGTGGTGTCTATGACCTGAAATACTTTTATAAGTAAATAAGTGATAATAGTTGCTAGGATGGGAAATCTTAAACATGATTTATCTGATGCAGAGTGTTACGAGATCACCTCAAGAAGGAGAGTTCATCAATTGGCCTGGCTAAGGTCTTTCTCCGCAAACAGCGACAGTCTCTAAAGCGACGACAGGCAGCACTGACTGCAGCCAAGCAGGAGCTGACTCGGGACATGAGCCTAGCTCAGCAAGGGGTGGGTTGTCTTTGATGATTCCACATGCTGTTCTAGTCAATATGTTCAAAACAACAAAATAGGGTTACTGATTGGGTAAATGGTGGGTAGGTGCAGTGATGGGTCAGATGGTAGTGAAATGGGGGTAGGTGCAGTGGTGGGTCAGATGGTAGTGAAATGGGGGTAGGTGCAGTGGTGGGTCAGATGGTAGTGAAATGGTGGATAGGTGCAGTGGTGGGTCAGATGGTAGTGAAATGGTGGGTAGGTACAGTGATGGGTCAGATGGTAGTGAAATGGTGGGTAGATGCAGTAGTGGGTCAGATGGTAGTGAAATGGTGGATAGGTGCAGTGGTGGGTCAGATGGTAGTTAAATGGTGGGTAGGTGCAGTGATGGGTCAGATGGTAGTGAAATGGTGGGTAGGTAGTGAAATGGTGGGTAGGTGCAGTGGGAGGTCAATGGTGCAGGAAATCAGAGTGAAATGGTGGGTAGGTGCAGTGGTGGGTCAGATGGTAGTGAAATGGTGGGTAGGTGCAGTGATGGGTCAGATGGTAGTGAAATGGTGGGTAGGTGCAGTGGTGGGTCAGATGGTAGTGAAATGGTGGGTAGGTGCAGTGATGGGTCAGATGGTAGTGAAATGGTGGGTAGGTGCAGTGATGGGTCAGATGGTAGTGAAATGATGGGTAGGTGCAGTGATGGATCAGATGTTAGTAAATGGTGGGTAGATGCAGTGATGGGTCAGATGGTAGTAAATGGTGGGTAGGTGCAGTGATTGGTCAGATGGTAGTGAAATGGTGGGTAGGTGCAGTGATGGGTCAGATGGTTGTAAATGGTGGGTAGATGCAGTGATGGGTCAGATGGTAGTGAATGGTGGGTAGGTGCAGTGATGGGTCAGATGGTAGTAAATGGTGGGTAGGTGGGTCAGATGGTAGTGAATGGTGGGTAGGTGCAGTGATGGGTCAGATGGTAGTGAAATGGTGGGTAGGTGCAGTGGTGGGTCAGATGGTAGTGAAATGGTGGGTAGGTGCAGTGGTGGGTCAGATGGTAGTGAATGGTGGGTAGGTGCAGTGATAGGCCAGATGGTAGTAAATGGTGGGTAGGTGGGTCAGATGGTAGTGAAATGGTGGATAGGTGCAGTGATGGGTCAGATGGTAGTGAAATGGTGGGTAGGTGCGGTGGTGGGTCAGATGGTAGTGAAATGGGTAGATGCAGTGATTGGTCAGATGGTAGTGAATGGTGGGTAGGTGCAGTGATGGGCCAGATGGTAGTAAATGGTGGGTAGGTGGGTCAGATGGTAGTGAAATTGTGGGTAGGTGCAGTGATGGGTCAGATGGTAGTGAAATGGTGGGTAGGTGCAGTGGTGGGTGAGATGGTAGTGAAATGGTGGGTAGGTGCAGTGGTGGGTCAGATGGTAGTGAAATGGTGGTGTAGGTGCAGTGGTGGGTCAGATGGTAGTGGTGGGTAAATGGTGGGTAGGTAAAATGCACAATGGTGGGTAGGTAAAATGAATGGGTCAGATGGTTGTGAAATGATTGGTAGGTGCAGTGGTGGGTAGGTAAAATGAATGGGTCAGATGGTTGTGAAATGATTGGTAGGTGCAGTGGTGGGTAGGTAAAATGAATGGGTCAGATGGTTGTGAAATGATTGGTAGGTAGAAATTGTTGGCAGGTGCAGAAGGTAAAATGGGTCAGATGGTTGTAGTGGATGGTGGTAGTGATGACAGGGAACAAGCTCAGGTTGTCATGATACCACTGTTTTCCTTCCACAGCTGCTGCCGATGACAGCAGTGCCAGACTCCTGGATGATGTGAGGTCCAGCCTGGACATGGAGGCCCTGAAGCTGGACCAGATGGAGGTGCAGATGGCTGCTGGGTCCAGGCTCGTCCGTGAGAAGGAGCTCAAGATAAAACAACTGGAGAACTGCAATGTGAGCAATATACACATGATTTACAGATATGTTCCAAGGCCCTGTTCCACAGAGCAGTTATAGCCCTAAGATGATCGGTAGTCCCATACTATAACAGAGTTACGACTGTCACAGTGCTATGAACACTTTGTTGACCAAGGCATTGTATGTATCTATACTACTGATGTTCACACATCATGTAAGTTACCCTGTAGTTGTAGGCTTATTTGATCATTAGATCTTGGGACAGATAATGTACATGGCAATGCCTGTTGCTCATATGTATTAATTATGGCCATAAGATTCAATAGTAAAATGTTAATCTTTGCTTGATTGTCTTCAAAGGTTTGTCTGACTTGACTTTGTCTCGTAGTTTCTATTTGACATTATTTTGTTATATACATCATTCATTAAAAGGGTGTACTTCATGAAATGTCTCTCACATTTTAAGAATCAACATTGATGAAAAAGTGGTCATTTGATGTGAGGATAATTTATTGATGTTGGTGTAGACCACTGGCGTTAGGGGGTGAGGTAAGAGATTTTGGTGTTCAGCATTGGAGATACAGGTTGGGGGTGATAGATGGTTGTGTTGTCTACTGGGATTGGATGGTAGAGGGGTTGTCATGTTGAGTGCTTGTTGAGTAACACCAGCCTCTACCATGTCTTCAAGGTGAGTGACAGTGAGACAGAGTACACTCCCTTTGAACATCGCTACAAACCCATGAGTCTTCCATCCCTCGACATCAGCGATGACGACGAGAGCAGCGGCATCAGCAGCACCGACTATAACCTCGACAACTTCATTCAGGGTAAGATGTTTTCACACTATACATGGGTGGGGTTACTATTGCTTTATGTGTTCATTCAAGGTGGATTTGAAGAAATAGCCTTGAGCTCTATTGATTCATGTCTGTGGAGGTGGACAGCTTCTCTCAGTTGTCTGTGAGGGGCGGTGGGGTAGCCTAGTGGTTAAAGCGTTGGCTCGTCACGCCGAAGACCCGGGTTCGAATCCCCACATGGGTACAATGTGTAAAGCCCATTTCTGGTGCCCCCGGCCGTGATGTTGCTGGAATATTGCTAAGAGCGGCGTAAAACCAAACTCAGTCAGTCAGTCAGTTGTCTGTGAGTGAAGACATGCAGAGGGTTTGGACTATTTTCCAAATGATGTTGCTCAAAGCAGTGGTATGCCATATCCACTACCCACTCAGATCATTCTATGATGCATATATATATTTGTAGTAATACACAGCAGCAGGATGAAAATCCTAAATAGCTGTCTTATGTTTGAAGTGAAGTGACTATCAATACTAGTATATGATTTACTTATAAATGGAGGACTTGCTCTTCAGGATTAACCAAACAGCATCTGCAGCATCAAACTCCCCCAGCCCCAGGGTCTTCCTCCTCTGTCCACAACGAGTCAGCACCGAGCCCCAGTGGTAACCCTCTAGCCCAGTCTCTGTACAAGATCAACAGCGAGCTGTCTCGGGTGCTTGGCATTATCAGCACTAGTAACAACCAGCCACCTCCTGCAGGTGGTAGCACCCATTCCTCAGGTAGGTGGCCATGCTTTACTCTACTCTATACAAACCACCCTCAAGCCATCACCCACTGCTGGCAGCTACTACCCCACACTATTCTACAAACCACCCTCAAGCCATCACCCACTGCTGGCAGCTACTACCCCACACTATTCTACAAACCACCCTCAAGCCATCACCCACTGCTGGCATCTACTACCCCACACTATTCTACAAACCATCCTAGAGCCATCACCCACTGCTGGCAGCTACTACCCCACACTATTCTACAAACCACCCTCAAGCCATCACCCAGTGCTGGCAGCTAATACCCCACACTATTCTACAAACCATCCTAGAGCCATCACCCACTGCTGGCATCTACTACCCCACACTATTCTACAAACCAGCCCTAAGCCACCCCAAGGCAGCTCCTTCCCAAGCTTTGTGGGTGCTTTGAACATCACTGTAGTTGGTAGGTTGCTACACTATTCAATCATAAGCTCATGTACTGAGGTCAGAGTTACAGTAAACTGATGTACTGAGGTCAGAGTTACGGTAAACAAATGTACTGAGGTCAGAGTTACAGTAAACTAATGTACTGAGGTGAGTTACAGTAAACTGATGTACTGAGGTCAGAGTTACGGTAAACTGATGTACTGAGGTCAGAGTTACAGTACACTGATGTACTGAGGTCAGAGTTACAGTAAACTGATGTACTGAGGTCAGTTACAGTAAACTAATGTACTGAGGTCATTACAGTAAACTGATGTACTGAGGTCAGAGTTACAGTACACTGATGTACTGAGGTCAGTTACAGTAAGGTGATGTACTGAGGTCAAAGTTACAGTAAACAGCTGTACTGAGGTCAGAGTTACAGTAAACTGATGTACTGAGGTCAGTTACAGTAAACTGATGTACTGAGGTCAGTTACAGTAAACTAATGTACTGAGGTCAGTTACAGTAAACTGATGTCCTGAGGTCAGAGTTACAGTAAACTGATGTACTGAGCTCAGAGCTACAGTAAACAGCTGTACTGAGCTCAGAGTTACAGTAAACTGATGTACTGAGGTCAGTTACAGTAAACTGGTGTACTGAGGTCAGTTACAGTAAACTAATGTACTGAGGTCAGTTACAGTAAACAGCTGTACTGAGGTCAGAGTTACGGTAAACTGATGTACTGAGGTCAGAGTTACAGTAAACTGATGTACTGAGGTCTGAGTTACAGTAGTCAGATGTACTGAGGTCAGAGTTACGGTAAACTGATGTACTCAGGTCAAAGTTACAGTAAACAAATGTACTGAGGTCAGAGTTACAGTAAACTGATGTACTGAGGTCAGAGTTACAGTAAGGTGATGTACTGAGGTCAGAGTTACAGTAAGGTGATGTACTGAGGTCAGAGTTACGATGTAAGGTCTGATGTACTGAGGTCAGAGTTACAGTAAACAAATGTACTGAGGTCAGAGTTACAGTAAACTGATGTACTGAGGTCAGAGTTACAGTAAACTGATGTACTGAGGTCAGAGTTACAGTAAACTGATGTACTGAGGTCAGTTACAGTAAACTGATGTACTGAGGTCAGAGTTACAGTAAACTGATGTACTGAGGTCAGAGTTACAGTAAACAGATGTACTGAGGTCAGAGTTACGGTAAACTGATGTACTGAGATCAGAGTTACAGTAAACTGATGTACTGAGGTCAGAGTTACGGTAAACTGATGTACTGAGGTCAGAGTTACAGTAAACTGATGTACTGAGGTCTGAGTTACAGTAAACTGATGTACTGAGGTCAGAGTTACAGTAAGTTGATGTACTGAGGTCAGAGTTACAGTAAATTGATGTACTGAGGTCAGAGTTACAGTAAATTGATGTACTGAGGTCAGAGTTACAGTAAACTGATGTACTGAGGTCAGAGTTACAGTAAACTCATGCTCTGAAGAAAGAAATGCCTGCCTTCAAAATATTCTTTTCAAACATGAACAACATCAACAGGATCAAAAATATAAACGTGTATTAAATACAGACATACAGGCTCTCAGGACCCCGTGAAATGACAAAAGCTGAGCACATACACAGGCATATACAGTACCTCCTGATTACCTTGTGTATAACTGTCTGTTTTGTTGCAGCCTCCAACAACCCACAGTTCCCCATCTATGTCCCCCATGCCCCCAGCACCCCCTACTCCTCCTGGGCCACGGACAACAGATACGTGTAAGTACTGCTAGTGTTTTGCTGGTAGGCTTGACATGACACGGAAGTGTGACCTTATATCCTGCTGTTGTAATCCCTTTCTTTAGAATCTGATCAAGTTTAATGCCTATATTAAGTGACAAACAAAGATTACCTTCCGAGATATTATGTAGTTTCATCATAGGTTTAAATGTCATTTAAAGTACAGTGGAAGAATCAGCACTGAAGATTTCTGTGGTTTTCCACTGACTGTTACATGACTGAAAATATGCTCTGTAATCAACTCAATGTGGGATATTATTCTAATATCTTAAAAACGATTTTCAATTTACATTGTTTTACTGTTTCTTCACGATGTTACTTGATCCATTGTCTCACCAAAGCTGACTGAGCAGAAAATGTAACCCCTTAACAGTTACCTTGAGTGATACAGATTTGTATATCATAACATACATATTAAAGTGAGATATTTGGCCATCAACAGCCACTCTCCCCTTCACAGAGTGGATTACTCCAACTTGGCCCACACAGCAGAGGCATCGCTAGAGAGGAAGTGGAGGAAGTACTTTGGAGGTAGGGGAATCAGGTTGTGTGTCGTAACAGCAGGCATGGGTTTGCCATGATGTCAGATCGTAAAGACAGCATTGACCAAACATAGGTTACAAATGCTTTATTACTTAGCACAAACTGAACATAAATATATCAGAAATAAGCACATGGTCATAGCACAATTTTTTGTTGTCATCGATAATGATTCCATTCAAAGCATTGTATCACAACTCGGACATGAAGTTATCACAGTATTCATGAACACAGCTGTCTTTCTTGGTAGATACAGTTTGTCAAGAGCATTGATGTAACTCATTACAACAGATACATGTCTTCAAGCACATCTGTGTAGCTCACAGTTTTCAAGACACAGACCTCGAGTGATTGTTACCATGTACTGGTGGTAGCTGCCATGGCAGTAGATGGTGCCATCATCTTCCTCCTGTTCACTGAAGTCATCCCCATAACTGAGGTCCATGGAGGATTCGTTGTCACTGCTGATGGAGTTTTCCATGTCTTCCTCTATCCTTGCATGTGTTGGATTGTTCCAGTAAAGCAGACCAGTCTGACCTTGATTCTGCAGTTGATGTTCCTGACTTTGGTGTTGATGCAGAAGGTGATGTTCCTGTTCTTGGTGTGGATGCTGAAGGTGATGTTCCTGTTCTTGGTGTTGATGCTGAAGGCGATGTTCCTGTTCTTGGTGTTGATGCTGAAGTTGAAGGTCATGACTCTGCTGGTGATGCTGAAGGAGATGGTCTGGACCCTGAGGTTGACTCCATACTTCCTGTTCAGTTCCCCATCTCTCCAGACTCAGCATCTGCTGGTCCTCCATGTCCCTCTGATACCCATGTTCCAACATGTCACCTCTCAGCTGATGTTCCTCAACCCAGATGAGCTGGTCTTCTTGAAGGCTGTCACTGGTGATGTACTGGTCCCCTGTCCTGCTGTCACTATCCAGGTCCTCTGTGTAGTGCTGCAGCCCATCCTCGGTGAAGGTGCTGATACAGGCTTGAACCTCTCTCCACTTGTTATGTCGGTAGTGGTTAAACATCTCCTTCACTCCCTCCACAACACATCTCCTCTGGGCCAGCTTGATGCCATGGATAATGTGACCATCCTCCACTTGCTTTGTCATCTTCTTCATGAGGCTAAGAACCTCTAAATCTGGATTGAGAAATTCAATACATTGAAAAGGCAGTTCAGCAATTATGAAGTAGAACATAAGTAATTATTATATTGAGTGTTTCTGACTTGTCATCTAGGCCACTGCAAGTAGCAACAGGGTTGCATCCCTTAGTAGTGATTTTGTTCATTGTAGTCTTTGGCTCATGCCTCAGTGTTTTGCAAGGCATTGGAAATAGCACACAGGCTGAAATGTCATGGTATAAAGATTGTTCAAAGTGACATTAAACCCAGCTCCCTAACTAACAGGCATGAATGCTTGTGTGTCTGGCCTATTCCTTATCCAGGCTGTGATTGACACTCTTATACTATGGCTGACTGTGGTCAATAATAACTGATGTGAGACTTACCCAGTGCATAGATCTGAAACACAGCCTTGTCATGAGCCAGCAACAAGTTCCTCAGCTGTCTGGCTGCTGTATCAGATTCCATTTGTGAGGGAATATAAAGTAATAGCCTCTGCAAGAGATAGATGTGACTGCAGTGAGATGGTGGTGAGACTGGTGATGCTCCATCAGGTCTTCCTCCACCTCTATATACTACAGAGAGAAGCCAGTTGCTTCAGTGGGGACACAGTGACAGGTGACTCCTGTGATGCTATCTGTAAAGATCAAAGAATTAGTGAGGACCTTCATGTTGGGATCAAGCAGTTCTATATCCTTGCATCCTGAAAAGAAAACAATCAAAGAGTTAGTCAGTCATCCAAACATGGTCTTGTTGGCTTCAATACAGCTTGGATGGGATAAAGTGAGTCATAGCCCTATGTCAACAGTGGTGGTTAGGCTTGTATCAACATTTCTGATTGGACCTTACAGACTCTTGTATCAACCATGCTGATTGGAACCTTATAGAGACCTGTATCAACAGTCCTAATTGGCCCTTGAGAGACCTATGTCAACAATACTGATTGGTCTATGCAGACTTGTATGAACAATACAGTTTGGTCTTGTTGAGGCATGTATCAACAGTGCTGATTGAACCTTACTGCCTTGTATCAACAATTCTGATTGGACCAAAAAGACTTTATCAACATTGCTGACTGGACCAAAGAGACTTGTATCAACAATCCTTATTGGACCAAAGAGACTTGTACAAACAGTGCTGATTGGATCTGTATCTACAGGAGTCATGTAGATACAGGTTTCTCTAAGGTCCAGTCAGTATTGTAGATAGATACTGATGGAATAGATTTGCTGATGGAATAGATGTTATTGTTTCATGAACAGATTATAGCAGCATTAACTGATTATAGTAAGAGCAAGTATGACAGGACCTCAAATATACTGCTATAAATAATCATTATTGAACCTTAGAGAAAAAAATGACTTTACAGGGATTTCTAGCTGTATGTTGAACGGTTTCTTTTTATTTCAGACAGGAGACCACCTTTGACCAGTGCTTCAAATTTAACCACAGGATCAGTGGGCATTGGTCATCCTCCAGTCAGGTGGGTAGTCTGCTAGGCCTTACTGGTGTTGATATAGGTTATGAAGGTGCAAACTGTCCTTAACTCACTCACATTGTCTATATGTTACAACTAAGCCAAAATTCCTATTTCTCTATTACAAACTATGTTAGTTAATGTTCCTTTCACCACCTTATGTTTTCTGAGTTTCTTAAAATGCTGTATTCAGTAGGTACTTACTATCAGTTCATTGATTGGTTCTCTCACTGCTCATTGCCATGGTTACAGGGAACAGCTGCGACAGTACCGCCTGAGTCTGCTGGAGACCCACCAGCAGCCTGGCGTGTCCACATCGGACAGACTGGCAGAACACAAGCTTTGGCTACAGCGCTTCCAACAGGACATCAGCTTCGGGGCTTCCAAATTCCGGACCTCCGGGTCCGATGCAGGGTCGATGTATCCTTCAGTACATGTGGCTTGAGCTGCCCTGGTACAGCACCACATTATCAGTAGAAGATTTAGGGTAGAAGAGCTTCACCCCATTTCATCAGTGTGTATGTGTGGAAATATGCTGACGTAATAAAAGTTTAGTAAGTTCCAACTTGTGATCCTGCTAATTACCGTATTCGCCATGATAAGCTTTACAGGTGCTTTGATGATTGAGAAAGGGGCTGTAATTAAAACCATGAACAATCTAAAGTTATTTTCAGGGAATTAGCAGTTTTTTGTAATAGTTACTTGGTATATGTATGTATTTCTATGCTTTTGTTTTTGAAAATATCTGTAACATACACAAGAAAATACAAACTTTCATCATAACAGGGTGCTTAATATGGCGACTATGGTAATTCCTTTTCCCATAGTGTTTAAGATGACAAGGAGGAGAGAGTGATGTTCTTTTGGTTCATGTAATCAGCTCATTCTTTCACAGTGACTATAAGTTGCGTATACGTGGGTAGTTGAAGTTTCATGCCTTTTTGCCTTCTGCTTCTCACTGCTGCTCACACTGAGAATAGATGCTGGTTCTAGGAATTTATTTTACTTTCCAATTTGTTCTTTTGAAGAATTTGAGTATTTTACAGACAGTAGAACCATGTATGTTCAAAAGTATATCAGATTATAGTGTTTCAGTTGAGGGGAATGCTGTCATTGGGATCCCAAGTTATCTATTGTTCTAATGGGGAGTGAGTTAACAAAGTTTTGGTCCATGTTGATTAATTCATTTGGATTGTGTTGAAATTCAAATAATTTATTTGTATGTATACACTTCCAAAGATGTGTACAAATTAATCAGACTTTGTTTTGTGTTTGTGTTCCAACTATTATCAACTTGTTTTGCACCGAGACAATATCTCCTGTAACTGCGTGACCCTCACTGATAAACAGGCACGGATGTATGTCACTCATACTTCCTGAAACATGAATCATTTGGAATCCAGGGAAGAACTGTGCATCCCATGACTGGGTACAGTTGTCAACCCCCTGGCTGTCACATGACTCCTGGGTACAGCTGTCCACCCCATGGCTCTCACATGACTCCTGGGTACAGCTGTCATGGCTGTCACATGACTCCTGGGTACAGTTATCCACCCCCTGGCTGTCACATGACTCCTGGGTACAGTTGTCCACCCCCTGGCTGTCACATGACTCCTGGGTACAGCTGTCCACCCCTTGGCTGTCACATGACTCCTGGGTACAGTTGTCCACCCCTGGCTGTCACATGACTCCTGGGTACAGTTGTCCACCCCCAGGCTGTCACATGACTCTTGGGTACAGCTGTCCACCCCATGGCTGTCACATGACTCCTGGGTACAGCTGTCCACCCCATGGCTGGCTGTCACATGACTCCTGGGTACAGTTTCCTGGGTACAGCTGTCCACCCCATGGCTGTCACATGATTCCTGGGTACAGCTGTCCACCCCATGGCTGTCACATGATTCCTGGGTACAGCTGTCCACTCCATGGCTGTCACATGATTCCTGGGTACAGTTGTTAACCCCATGGCTGTCACATGATTCCTGGGTACATCTGTCAACCCCATGTACAGCTGTCAACCCCATGGCTGTCACATGATTCCTGGGTACAGCTGTGCACCCCATGTCTGTCACATGACTCCTGGGTACAGTTGTCCACCCTCTGGCTGTCACATGACTCCTGGGTACAGCTGTCCACCCCATGTACAGCTGTCAACCCCATGGCTGTCACATGACTCCTGGGTACAGCTGTCCACCCCATAGCTGTCACATGACTCCTGGGTACAATTGACCCAGGTAATACTGAGCCTTGCCTGGATATGTGAAATGGACAGTTTCTATGTACAACAAATCTATCTTCAACTCTTCTGAGTGATACAAGAAACTACTAGAGAAAGTAATGTAAACATCTACATGTAATGGAAGAGATACATTTTCAAATTTTGATTTGTAGTATTAAGTCGTGCAGGTAATATTAAATGTTCTTTTGTGTTGACAAATTTTCCATTTTGCACGTTGTGTTTTGTTTGCACGTTTACCTTAACATTACGACAGCACTAGTTTAGGTGGCGGCTCTGACCAGAGGTTTTATAATGAGCCTCTCTCCTCCACCCCAGCCCGTCCCACTCACCAAGCCTCTCACAGGGGGGGAGGGGCCATCCGTCTTGAGCTGGATGACAACAATGACATAGTTGTCCGACAATACCATCTGTGATTCTGATTCCTCATTCTAGAATGCTGTAGAGGAGAAAAACATGATAGGAAACAGTGTTCAAGACACTCCAATGGACAAAGTGTTCAAGAAGCTGTGTAGCATCATATTTCTAAGAGGGCGGTGGAGTAGCCTAGTGGTTAAAAGCATTCGCTCGTCATGCCGAAAACCCGGTTTCAATTCCCCACATGGGTACAATGTGTGAATCCCATTGCTGGTGTCCCCCTCTGCAATATTGCTGGCATATTGCTAAAAGTGGCGTAAAACCAAACTCACTCGCTAAGAGATATGTGAATCAACATTGACTCAGATACTAGGCATCAAATGAGACTGTCCATAACTGTTGATTGGAAACAGGACTGGAATATATGTCTCAATGTGTTAACAACTTAGTGTCTTTTATCTATCTTTTGACTGTCAAACATGAAGATTACTCCAAAAGATACAGTGAAAACACTGGATATCATAAATTCTATTTTGAACTCATAAGGTGGTTAAGTAGTCTGACTCCAAAACAACTGAACAACCTGCTGTTTGATGTTTTCAGGAAGTTGTTACCAAAGATGCACACAAGCACCTGCACTGTCTCACTGCCAAACTCTTTTGTTGTCCACTGCTTCCTCCACTCCAGGTGTTTGTGAACTAATTCCTGTGATGTACTTAACGGTCACAGATAACCATGCAAGAGCACCTGCACAGTGGCAGCTGTGTTATAACCAACTTCAGAAGATGGTGGACAGTGGTCAAGCATGACCAGTTTCAGTTTTGTACTTAATACTGTAACCCTGTAACCTTTAACCAATTTTCATATGAAATGATACATTGTGATAGACTAGCCAGACAAATGAGTGAATTTGGGGAAAATATTGTAGTTGTGTGAGAAATCTGTTTGTTGAGGTTTCTGGCTATATTCTACTTCTGAATGTTGTTGTCAAGAGGGTGCACTGGTGGTCCACTGGTTGTCGGGTCCTTATTCTCGAAACGTTCGTAGCCCTAAGGGGGCGGTGGGGTAGCCTAATGGTTAAAGCGTTGGCTCATCACGCCGAAGACCCGGGTTCGAATCTCCACATGGGCACAATGTGTGAAGCCCATTTCTGGTGTCCCCCGCCGTGATGTTGCTGGAATATTGCTAAAAGCGGCGTAAAACCAAACTCAGTCAGTCAGTCAGTCAGTCAGTCAGTCGTAGCCCTAAGAATTCTTAACTCTGATCAAAGCCAATGTGTTAAGAATGGGCTTAAGAAATTCGTAGGGCTTCGAACGTTACGAGAATAGCTAGCGAGGTCCCTATTTGCTGTGAAGAGTTGCTTCCCCTATATGTGCTAGGATCCTCTACTCATGGTCCAAATCAAAGATTATACCCCTTAATGGTCCTTAGTTTCTCCACATGACATGCTTGATGTGAAGAAGTTGTGAATGTCGATGGTTCTTCACACATTAAGTTGACAAGCTGGAAAAAAACTGAAATACCACCAGATTAAACCCAACTCAGACATAGTACTTCTACAGTGATGTTCACTGACATGAGAAAAGAAATCATCTCAGTGTTTGACCAGACAGAACATGCCCCGTGTCTTGGATGTGTCTGATATAGCTACAAATATTTTGATTGCTCCGACATTGTATATGAAATACCCTGCATCACAATGCATGTATTACTAAGACAAGTGCCATCTTCAAACTTGTTCCTCAACCGTCCAGTCTTTTTTTATGTACATGAGTGTTTAGTTTTGCTATGCCAGCAGATGACTATTTTATGAAGATAAAAACAGTCAGGGCTTGATCGTGACGATCTTACCCAGAGAGCATTTGTATTTTTAACAGCAATGAGACTACTTGCCTATGCAATATATTTTGTGGTGTGTAAATATATCTTTAAAAAATTAGACATTTTATTGACTGACTACAATGTACATAGATATTTTATGAAATGCATGCTTATATGCATGTGGTCATTTTAATACCAGGCAGTGATATATGATTGTATATAGATTGTATATACATGAAGGCAGTGCATTGTAATCGATTGTAAATACATAAAAACAATGCAGACATACTTAATGCATTTTGTATATTACCCCTTATAGGACTGCATGATTTTGCATGCATCAATACATTGTGTATACACTTATTTCATAGTGCATGATTGTATATACACACTACACATTGCACGGTTTTATATACTTGGTACATTGTGCATGTATTCAGTGCATAGTGTATGATTGTATGTGCAAACGTATTACGTGGTGAATGATTGGATATGTTATCAGTTAGCAGTTATTACAATGTGCATGATTGTACATGAATGTAGTTAGTTGTATGATTGTATATAGTCAGTGCATGACATGTTATCATATATTCACCTAGAACACAGCTCAATATGAGCATTAAGTGTCATGTTCATCTTCGACTTTTGATACAACGTACATAATGTCTGTAGAATGTACTTCATCATAATGCCATTAGTTTTACATTGTTGCATCATGGATATGGTGACCATAATTTGAAATTGAGAAACATTTATTCAAAATTCCTCTCTTTCTTTGGCAAATATATTCTGAGAATAATTTAAATATCATCCGCAACACTGATATGATGCCCAATTTGACATTTATATTCGGCCAGATCAATCAGTCGGAGCTCCTTCTGTGCAAACTAGATTTTCCGCTCTGCCCTTTCCTTGATAGATGGCTATAACACCATGCTGAAATTAACTCCCTATGTCTTCCAAGAAATGCCAGCATTTCACACACTTACAGTTTGAAAGTTCCATGATTGAGATTAATGTCATTTATTTATTTCCTCATCCAACACCTGCCTGGCAGACCATTCTGTAGTCCAGCAAATATATAAGTAATGGCATGAATGTCATCGTCATCTGTCTGTAGCAGAATATTATCGTCGTCATCTGTCTGTAGCCTGGTATGCGTAACCTTTTTCATTGTAAAACACCATCTATTGATTGTTTTCTTTGTGGCCCGTTGTGTATCACTGGAAGATGCAATGTGTCAAATATTCAGGGTCATGACATAGTGTGCAGTACATTGAATAGTGTATATAACCTTCACCTCATAACGACCCTTACCCTCCGACCTTCTCAACTCTAACCTTTAGTCATACAGGTGCTCAATAACAGATGTAAGGAGGCATTGTATTGGCTAATATTGGCCATTAATTAGAATATTAGTAATTTTTAGTTGAAATAGATCTTTGAATCTTTCTTAAAATGAATATCACGACAGTTTAGAGTATTCAGTCTCTGCAGGTTGTATTACTTAGTTCAACATTTCATTCACAATGCCATAGTTACATGAAGAAAGGAAGTTAGTTTCTGATTCCTTAAGTGATCTCTCTTTACACTGAATCAGTGGAGTAAGAAAATGGTTAAACTGAAATAATGTAAGCCACAAATATTTTTCAACTGTTCAACGGATCTCCCAACATCTTTTGTTTGTTAACTGGGTCAATATTTGTCAGTATGACCAAATATCTACAGTGTTGTGTCAGTTAACATCCGTTTGCTGTTGAATAAATAAGTTTTTTAGTTCAGTCAAATATATCATAATGGCTCATCTCATGACTATTTCAGATGTTTCTATATTTGATGGTAACAGTACTGGAACTGATGTTATAGAAGTGAATCCTTTAGAGGTAGATATGGCACCAGACTTGTCCAATTCTGTTTGGGTTAATTATGTCACACCTTTAACACTAGGGTATTGTGCCTGTTATCTCGAGTACTCACAGGTTTTATCTTCTAGTGTCACAAGCATTACTCTTACAAGGGAGACCACTGGAGATTGCATTAGACTTCATATTTGGTTAGGATTATGTGCAAATCATGTTTTATAAGTTTATCTCCGATTGAAAGAAATATTGAACTATTAATTACCAAACAGACTTGACAAAGTCATGTGTATTTAATCCCTGACTGAAAACTTTCTGCTCCACACAGGGAAGTGTCGCAGTGTGGGGAGTGGTGTAGTAGAGCTCTCTGTGATAACAATACACGACCAGCATTACAGTGTCCTATATGTGATGTGTCATGTTGTCTGTGTAATCTCTTCAAGTGCTACATGTATGATATCATCGAGGAATCCACTTTCTCCGACCCATATATAACCACATATTTAGAGATTCATCCAACATTTTGACTTGAAGTTTGTGCAGGAATAACTCGGAAAATATGTGCTTTTCGGTTTGGGAAATGATCAAAATGAACTGTGAAAACCCTGATTTATTTTTCTTTTTCGAGTGAATTAAGTGTATTTGATATGCAAGTACAAATGCATGGTTGTACAAGATGACAAGGCTAGTTTGCTGTGTACTGGATACCTTCGGGCCATGTTGGTAATGGATCCGCACAAGCTCTTTCCCTAGTTATGGTTTGTTTATTGTTCAGATGTCACTAACAAGGGGCTTGTGTGTTTGCTTTTTTAAAATACGCTTTCGTAAGTACATGGTATTTTCATTCACCACACAGTAGATCTACATGTTTTCTACTGTAATTGTTTTCGTTGCATGTAACTGATCAGGTTGCTGCACATCATAATGGAATTTCTTTTTCGAGTTAATTTCGATGATGAAACGTACCATAATGGAATTTATTTTGGGGTGTGATTTTCGATGATGATGCACAGTATAATGGAATTCCTTTTGGGAATAATTTCGGATTTCATAATGGAATATCTGTTTTTCGGGTTATTTTCCATGGTGATGCACACTATAAAGGAATTTCTGTTTTTGAGTAAATTTTGATGATGATGCACAACATAATCGTATCTTGCTTTTTTTTCGAGTAATATGTTATGTTAATGTCTGATGTTTTATCTTAATGATTTGCTTTGATGTTTAATTTTATGTTTTTATTATTAAATATACAAATGCATGCGAGGGCATTTTTCTGCATCAAACAAATATGGCTGACAGGTATCCGGTATAAGTGTACTGGCCACACTAAGATATAGAAGCTGTTACCAAAGCATGTCTTGTTTGTGTGCACATATGCCTTTATGAAATCGGGAAATGTTACAGTTAGGGAAGTCTCTTTTTGTGGTCATTTTTGAACGAACCTGCAGCAGGTGTATGTCCAGCTGACTGTTGGGAACTCACTTTTCATGATACATTTGTCACCTCATCTGTCTGTGTGCCTTGATATTATACATGGTTGCTGTAGTTTGTAGTAACATTTTTATAGATGTCTGGTTCTTACACACTAGGTACAAAGTGTTCAAGATCCTCTCCACAGGGCCCTGATTTCAGTGACAGGGGCCCTGAATGTGGTTTCATGGGCACTATTGAAGATTGTGGGGTTAAAGTAGGAGTGTGGACATGGTTTACATTTCAAAATATTTGCAACAATCTTTTAAGCAGGCGATTTTTTGACAGCTCAAAACTCCAAGAATTTTGTTTCTTTAGTTGTCAGTTGATGAAGGTTTGAGATAAAGAATAAAGTAGATGTTGATATGGTAAGTTGTTTCATATCAAAATGCCTAAATGAAAATGACATTGCATTTCTCAGTTTTGTCATATCAATAAGATAAATCATAAGGTTGTAGAATTGAATTAGAAACAGTTATATGTCATTTCATAGTGAATTGTAACTAATATCCAAACTGAAGATTTGAATAAAGCCAATGTGAACAAGATCATATCACAAAGTTATAGTGTCATGTAAAACCAATGTCAAATATCGTTAAGTCCATATTTAATAGTGGATATATAAACAAATCGGTTTATCGACAATTCTGTGCTGGAATGTCCATCCACCAAGTGTTAAAACAATACTAAGACCTGTTATTTTATCATATGCATAATATCAAATTATGAAAATATATACATGCTTGTACCTGACTTTCTTGATTTTGCATTATAGCAGGTTGAATTCATTAAGTAAGAACTCTTAACTATAGTATCTTTGTCCCTGGAACCTTATGTAAACATTGTTGTGATGTCCCTCTGTGTAACACACACAGCCAAAATGATGCTGAGAATGACTTTATCACAGAGTGAAATCCCATGTTGGTGTAGTCTGTTTACATAGAGCCGAAGGAGTGGTTGGGTGGAATAATGGCTAAAGAGTTCGCTCATCATGCTGAAGACCCGAGCGATTCACCACATGGTTGCAGTGTGTGAAGCCCATTTCTGGTGTCCCTGCCCTGATAAAAGTGTAGAAATAAACTCACCCTCTCTCAGCCCCTACTGATGGTGTCCTTGTATATGTATTTTACAGATATCCGTCCAAACACAAACTGTATTACTCTCACCAGTAACATCAATATATTCATCACAGCTGTAACTGACAGTTATTGATATTTTATTTAGGATTTTACATTCTATACTGATTTTTTAAATAAAGTACATTTTAGAAGCAAATAATAATTTATGAGAGTAATCACTATTCATCAGGGGCAGTATCCATAAACATTCTTTGAATTTCTTAAAAATACAGTTAACTCTCTTATAAAATTCTTAGTTACCGGTAATAGCTATATTAACTCTAAGAGAAACTTTTGTTTGTGAGCAAAGTGAAACTCTACAGTAACACTTTAGTTTGGACAATGGTTGCCACCTGAGAATTACTTTTTGGTGTGAAACTCAGCTGATGCAGCTATGGTGTGGCAGGTTCTACAATACTGAATACATAAGAAAATTCTTAATTTGCTAGAAGTCCTTTCTGGTATTCGATCTATGATTAACTTTTGGTATACGAAAAGCTACGTTAGAAGTCTCCGAAGTTTTATGAATACTGCCCGAAATTTATATCATACAAATTAGTGGAAGCTAGAAACAGAATGGTGTGTGCTGTAGTACTGCAGCGACATGAAGTGTTGTTTTAGTTACACATATTACCCTGCCTTGCTGTATACTAACATCCAACACAGACTGTATTGTATATTTTAAGACTTTTGTCTGAATAAAGAAAATACGATTACCAAGTGTGTCTGTTGTGTATGTATCATCTTAGTGTGAACAAGGTGTATCAGGTGTGTCTTTATTTTGAGTATGGGACTGTATTCCTGAACACATATATAATGTTTAAGACTATGTTCCTCTCCTGGGCCCCATCAATCGGTCAGATTAGCTAACAGGTTGGTTGGTTTGTTGTTTAACACCTCACTGAGCACTTTTCCAGCTGTATGGCGGAGGTCTGTAAATAATCAAGTCTGGACCAGACAATCCAGTCATCAACAGCGTGAGCATCTTTGAGCAAATGGGATACTGTGACAACCAAGCCTCCTACGACAAACATGGGTTACTGAAGACCAATTCTAACGTATCTTCATGTATAAAAACTGCATAGTAGGATAAAAGTGCTTGTTACAGGGCAAGTAATCTCAAAATGTGTTTGAAATGAGTCAAGGAATGCATCTCAACAGTGTGTTTTTTCCATGGGTCTTCAGTCTGTGATTGGGTTTACTTAAGCTCAATTGGTTCTCATGTATCTCTCCTGATCTCAGATTATCTTTTGAACAAAAGGGTGGTGGGGTAGCCTACTGGTTAAAGTGTTCGCTCATTGGATTCAATGTGTGAAGCCCATTTGTGCTGTCAATCACCCTGATGTTGCTGGAATATTGCTAACAGGGGCGTAAAACTAAACTAAGGGTGGATGGATGACCTTTCAAATTGTCTCTCTAATTTGAGCCCTAGATCCCTCTGTGTGCATTCCAGTGTATCAATAGCTTCTCGGCTTCCCATGCTTCTCGTGAGAATCAGGTGGTCAAAATGTTGGGGTGGGGTTTGGTGGTGAGGTAGACTAGTGTTTAAAGCGTTCGTTCGTCACACGGAAGACGTGTTCTATTCCCCACATGGATGCAATGCGTGAGGTCCGTTTCTGGTGTCCCTGCTGCGATATTGCTGGATTATTGCTAAAAGCGGCATAAAACCACACTCACTCACTTTTTCATTGGACAATCTAGCTAGATATTCAACGCCAAGAGCAGTTGACAAACAGGAAGTGGTTTTGTTTCTGTAAATGTGACAACTGTATTGTCACACAAAATCCATTCACGCGATCACTGATCAAATAATATCTATTCACACAGTTTGTGCTTATGATAAATAATATACCTCCCCAACATACAAGGCACCTGTCACACCTGACTGAAATCGATACTGAAGATCTGTGATATCCTCAACATCGATATTAGACTAGACCGGGTCCACAGTTTATCCAACACCTGGCTCACACAGTCACTGGGCGAGGAGGATATGAGACACAGTCCCCGGAGACACTGTCAGTATTTCCATGCATATCTATCATTAATAATATTATTCTTATGACACGTATTTTTAAAAATTGTGCCATGTTTAGCTATATTTGTTAATATAGATATGTGATTGTGTGTTTATATTTATTGGTTTGCCTAGTGTAGATGATTAACAGCCCGTGTTGATGTACCTTACATATTGTTGAAATGGCGTAAAACACTCTCCCACTCTCTCCAAACCTTTGAATGGTAATTGATTGCACATACTTAATCTCGAGACTGTCGCTTTAGCACTTGGCGAAGTATCAATAATCCGGCGGCTATCGAGATTATAAAATTGTCTTTTGAAAGGTATGCAGTAATACAACTGATGTATCCATCATTTTGCTGAACGCTTCAGGCACAAATCTATAAGATGTAAGTTAGCGCAGGGTTCCATACATGGAGTACACGAGTGGAGACCGTTTCTCGATCGTTTACAGAGCTACATTGAAGAACGCCATGTTCCCTTTAGTGTTTTTGTTTATCTATTTTTGCAGCAATTTTCCGACTGTATGACGGCGGTATGTTCTGTTTTTGTTGTTTAACGCCGCACTCAGCAATATTCCAGCTATATGGCAGCGGTCTGTAAATCATCGAGTCTGGACTAGACAATCCAGTGATCAGCATCATGAGCATCGATCTACGCAATGGGATACGATGACATGTGTCAGCCAAATCAGCGAGCCTGACCACCCGATCCCGTTAATCGCCTCTTACAAGCATGCGTTGCTGAAGATAGATTCTAACCCGGATCTTCACGGGGGCAAGAACCTTATGAGACCCAGTGTCAATTTTACTTTTTTGGCTGAGAGGCGAGCCAACTCATGTAAGGTGTAATTGTTACAATTTGTTTCAAAGCTCAGTCTAGTAACACCGAAAGTCTATTCTAAAGTGGCTTGTACAGTTAGCAGCAGACATACCTGAGATACACGTTGCACACAAAGTTCGAGAAGATAGGTTATCAGCTGATAGGGATGACTGTGTCCACAAATATGATACTGTTGTCATCGCAGTGTGATGGTGGCCGTCGATGTCAGAGCACATTGTCACAGGGAGGGTAAAGTTCATCTCCATCAATGGATGTTACCCGTTGTCCGAGACCCGAATGAGGATGGCTCCAGCCCAGAAACAGTAGACCAGTGAAACGTTTGCCCACACCGTAGGACAACTTTATGTGCTGGAAGGTTAGTAGACACTTATTAACAATTGTTGGTTAAAATGGTTTGGCTGTTGTACCTTACTTATTCAGTGTAATGTTATCTTGCCGGTTAAATTAGCAGATGTTCAATATATGTATGGTTCGCGCTGCGCAGTTGATAACAAATCTAATTTTACACTTAACGGAATAAGTGAGTTCGAATTATATATTTCATGGGTATTTTCTTTGGACGAGAAAGTGTTATGGATTTATGAACACATTTGGATAACGTGTAATTGACTGAATCGCTAAGGATATGTATCACAATGTTAGAATGAAACCTAGTTAACTCATATTTGCTTATCTCGATATAATTGAGTGAGTGAAATCGGGTTTTGCACCGCTTTTAGCGGTATCCTGGCAATATCACAAGGGGAGAGTTTATCTCTTTATGCTGCATGGGAGCGGTGTTAACATAAGCAGTAATGCTTGTTCACCAATCCTAATTCATTTTCATGAATAAAAATATGTTTAAACCATATCACAAGGGGAGAGGGCACCAGAATTGGGCTTCACACATTGTACCGATGTGAGGAAACGAACCCGGGCCTTTGGCGTGACGAGCGAACGATTTAACCGCTAGGCTACCCCAGCGTCCCCAGCTATTGTAAGGATACAAAAGTCTGGTTAAAACAGAATTCATAATATGATCCCAATATGTTCCAAACATTGCTCCGAACGCACACACACATTTGTCCACATGCATATGCATATTACGTAACTGTAATGGTCAGCTTTGGCTCTTGGTCAGGCGTTTAAACATTATTGCTCTTGGTCAGGTGCATTATTGGCTCTTGGTCAGGCGTTTAAACATTACCAATGCAATTTTCATAACTCACGATTATATTACAGATGATTATGAAGATGATAGGAAGTGTTAACAATTTGGTTTTGAAACACTGTGCCTGATCCCTGAATTAGATGTGTACAGACAAAAATACTGTCCCATGCCAAATCTACTCTATTTACACAAAAAAAAGGTAAACATTTATGGACGTCAAATTCTTTATTACGAGGAAACGACATTTCCGAGTATATTCTTACTCCTTCATCAGGTGAGTGAAAAGCTTGGAAGCAGATAGCTGTATAAGTACATGTGGAAAATGGTGGGGTCTTAACAAGGGAAGCCAGTAGTTAATTGGCGCAGAATGGTAAAATGAACAAATACCAAACCAGGGATTAATCCAGGCATATATAGTCCTGATAAGCGATCAAGCACTGATGTTTAGTTAACGAAGAGGGGTGGCGGGATAAGAGCACTGACTAGTGAAGACATGGAAGCCACTGCAGATAATTATATTACTAAATCCCAAGCGCTGCAGGTATGTTCCGGGTCACGGTTACCAATCAATGCCAGTTAACTACTGGCTTCCCTTGTTAACTGCTCGCCATTGTTATCTTATCACTGACGTTTTTCAATCACCCGATGAAGGGGTAAGAATGTACTCCCAGACATGATGAAGAAGCTGACATCCATAAATTCTGACCTTTTATCCTGGTTTATATATTTTGAACTCTTGATACTTCGTACATCTGTTACTTGAAGGTGATAGGTGAATGTGGACTATTTTCTTCTTATTTGAGACGATTGATCGGTGGTAAGGATAGGTGACACAGTTCACTGCACATCGTCGTGCGCCAATTGTATGGAATCCTAGAAGGGACATTGTCGATCGCCCTCATAAAAAACAACCAAAAAGTGGCCAAATTAACCAAAGTGCGACAATGCGACAACGCGACACTTTGGCCACTTTGTCGCATTGTCGCTAGGAATGATATATTTTTTATTTAACCAAAGGGCGACAGTCTCAACATCAAAATATGTCGCGTTGTCGCATTTTGGTTTATTTTGCCATTCTTTGCTTGTTCTTGTAAGGGCGACAATGCGACATCGCGACAATGTCCCTTCTTGGATTCCATACAATTGCGGTAACTGATTATCATGATGTCAGTCACAGGATTGTACATAGCTGAAAACCTGCCACGATAAAATTATGGAATGCCCTACCAAATTCCAAAGCGTCATGTAATCTCACAGAATTTAAAAACCTAATTACAAAAACTGAAAATAAGATTTACTTTGACCTTAATTATGGCACTCGTTTTTTGCCAAATCGTTCACTGACGCCTCAGGCTCGGGTGTAGCGACCTAAACGCCGATAAGTATAACAGTCATTTAATAGACAGCCCTTGTTGTTCTTGTGGACATCAGAGTGAAAACGCCCTACACTATTTCCTCACTTGCCGTAACTATACTCGGATAAGACTTCATATGTATTTTTACACTATCGGTTATAACCTGGATACCATTCTTAAGCGAAACAAAGAACTTACTCCCTGTGAAAACCAGAAAATAGTTGAATCCGTCTACGATTATATAACCAAGACACAACGCTTCAAATTTTCTCAGGAAAATAATTAAATTTACTCAACAACCTTCTCATGATTGATTTATATTTCTACAATGGCTTGTTAGACACACACAACTGTAACTCTCTATCTTATGACTACTTAGAGAATAGTTGTATTTCATGTAATCTGTATATATTTATATATATTTAAAAATATTATATTAATGCAATGGTCAGTATCGATGACGTCAAATCCTCCATTTCATGTTGTATTATATGTTGCATGGGAGCGGTGTTAACATAAGCAGTAATGCTTGTTCACCAATCCCAATTCATCTTCAGGAATAAAAATATGTTTAAATCACATAGCTGGAAAGTTGCTGACCGCGGCCTCTGAAAACAAAGAAACAACATAAAGTAGCATTTTTCACATCTGATAAATAACTTGAAACATTGAACTTGTCGATCTGTAACTGAGTGGGTATCTATATATCATAAAATTAATATATAGACTGATAAAATAAAAGTATTGATTACGTCATTCATGATACAGCTGTGTACGTGGTGACAGCGACAGCCGCGTATACGATAAGCTCTACATACTGGGGCCGGTAGGTTATTGTGTTAGTTTGTTGATTACATCTCCAACACAAGAACCACACCTGCTTGCTTAAAGGCAGTCATCGAACACCTTACTATAAGCACTGCTTATTATCAAAACGAGGCTTACATTAGGGGGTTATATTAAGCATCACTTCCTTTCTCCGCACCTACGTCCTGACCATGTGCAGAAAAGGAATTTACGATTTAAGTCACATGTTACTGTAAGTCTTCCCGCCTCTGGGTACCGCTCGATGGCTTCCTTTTATAGGTTCACCTAACATCATCTAAGTGCTAACTACCCTAACATGTTGCATGTAGGTGTTACATAGATATGTGGACGTGAACTGATTGTAATGCTATGATATTAGAATACTAACATGTTTTCTTTGTTTCATACCTTTAACATGTATTTAGGCCACATAAACGCATTTCGAAAAATACGTTTGTGCCTTAAAACTTAATCACAGGTGTTGTTTGAACGTCTCCACCTGGGTGTAGAAATAGACATAGAAATAGACTTAGAAGTAGACAGATGCAAGGGTTGACGAATTCGATGGTGAAGAAGTAGATGAAGCCAAAGACTCAGAGACAAACGAAGGGGAATAGACTAGCTCTAGACAGGCTTTAGGCAGAAGAAAGCAAAGGCTCAACGAAAGAAGCAGAAATAGACACAACCAGAAAGGAAGACGTGAAGGAAGACAAAGGCGAATAGTTAGATGTACAGGAATCTATGCTTTCAGATGTCTCTAAACTTCACCATATACCCCGATTCAGCGGGGGCGGTGAGGTAGCCTAGTGGTTAAAGCGTCTGCCCGTCACGCCTAAGAACCGATTTTGTGGTGTCACCTACCGTGATATTGCTGGAATATTGCTAAAAGAGGCGTAAAACTAAACTCACTCACTTACCCGATTCAGCTATGATGGTCTGATATGGAAAGGATTGGTTGGGGACACTCTCCAGACCAGCTGTATGATCTGAAAACTAATATGATGTGGCTTCAAAAAATCTATTTTGGCTATTCCTTTTCGAGAAAAGATTGTTTGTCTTGAAACTGTGTCTGAAAAATTTAACAATCGCGATACCAGTGTTGTGTTCTACCCCGCGGTTGCGAATAGTGTCGTTACGATAAATCATAATTGTATTTTTCGTTCTTTCTCGCAGACATCCAACCTCATTATGCAGCCTGCCGTCCTGATCCTCCTTCTGGCCCTTGTGGCGATGGCATCATCATCTACACATTGCCGACACAACATCACCGTGGACGAGAACATCTGGAACTGCTCCGACACCTTCACGTTGGACTTCCCGAAGACGGACAGCATCCCGGATGGTACACAGGTGTACGACCTCAGCTTCAACCGCATCCTGGAGTTACACAGAATCAACTCAACGTGCACGTCCGTCCACTCCTGTAAAGGCTGCCTCCGGAAACTCTACCTCCACCACAACAGCATCGACCAGATTGACAATGAAGCCTTCCAGAAGCTCCACTGTCTACACACTCTGGATCTCTCCTACAACAAGATCAGAGGCGACAGTCTTTCCTACATGACGTTCGATGGTTTGCTACAGCTTGAGTTTCTCACGTTGAAGGGAAACCCTTTGGTGAAAATGATTGATTTCACACTCCGGTTTAACGAACTTAGAATGCTGACTAAGCTGGATTTGTCAGACTGTCAACTGACATCAGTTGCGGAACACGCTTTCGATGATATATCAATGCTGGAGGAGATTGACCTGAGTGGAAATAGCCTTAAAATCGTTGACCCTTATTCCTTTGCGGGACTTAGTTTTCTTGACGTGTTGGATCTTAGCAATAATAGATTTGAAACCATACAAGAAGACAACTTCCAAGCCTTGATTAAACTACGGGACTTACGTCTGGACGGAAATAACTTGGAAATATTACCCGCAAAGGCATTCGGGGGGCTGGCAAATCTTGAAATTCTATCCCTCTCGGAAAACTGGTTAAAAGGGATCCCGTACCATACACTGAAAGGTCTACAGTATCTGAAGACCCTGAACATGAGTCGGAACCACGTGATTGAGCTTGAAGCTAGTGACTGGCCGGAAGATGTCACATCCAGAGTGACGGAACTCTACCTGGATCAGATGTATGGTCTGAACATCATCAAACACAAAGCTTTCGTTTCCTTTCCTCTTTTAAGGAAAGTGTCAATATCCGGTAACAAACAGCTGGAAGTTATAGCATACGACGCCTTCTTTGGAAACACTCGTCAAATTAAGGAGGTGTATTTACGGGACAATAACTTGGGTTTTATCGCTGGTGGACTTCTTCCGTGGGACAGCCTGGAGGTGCTTGAGCTGGACGGGAATCCGTGGAACTGTGACTGTAGGTTCCAGTGGGTGCTGCAGGGAGGATACTTGAAGAACAACACTATCAGGTAACTGAAGTCCTTGAAATACATTTAGAAGTAGGACAAACTTGAATACGTGACACGTTTTAAGTCTTGTTTGTTCGTTGTTTAACTCACACTCAGCAATATTCCAGCTATATGATGGCGGTATGTGCACGTTTTACGGATAACAAGTGCGTTGTATTCTATGTCAACACGTTTCAGACCTAAAAGTTGTTGTTGTCCATAAACGTTTCATGTGACAGAGTGAGTGAGTGAGTGAGTATGGTCTTATGCCGCGTTTTGTTGGTGGGTTGGTTGGTTTGTTGTTTAACGCCGCACTTAGCAATATTCAAGATATATAGCGGCGAGGGACACCCGAAATGGGTTTTACACTGTACCGGGGAATCGAACCCAGATCTTTGGCATGACGGATGAACGCTTGAACCACTACATTACCCCACTGCTCCATACTAATTGAACTAAACTCCATGAAGGAATATGATCCCAGCAAGGGGATGAGGCAAACACACTGGATATTCACATAAGGTGTCATCTCGAGTAATTGGTAATATTCATGACATCCTCTATGCTTGTGTTTCACTCAACCAAAATGAAGATCGGATAATCACAATGTCCGATCTGTCAACGTATATCGAATGGATCGTTGCTCATGCAACAACCACTGGCTTGTCTTGCTCGTACACGAATGATGACAAGTCGCCTTGGTATGACTGATGCATTGCTAACTGACGGCGTAAAACAACATGCATCCACTTGCTCTTCGATAACTAGGTTTTGCGGAATGGTATTAGACGCATGAGTTGGAACATACTTAAGGACATGTAATTTAGTATTCTGTGTGTACGTGCGTGTGCGTTTCTGTGCGTTAAACTATAATACGATCGTCTTCTTTCAGATGTGATGCTCCCGATAAACTGCGTGGTCAGAACTTGATTGGGGTATCCCCAGAAGATCTCCGGTGTCCTCGATCTCTTATCTGGATCCTGCTGACCTTCGTCCTCGGGATTGTCCTCCTCCTGATTGTCCTCGTCTCGCTCGTGGCATGGAGGTTCCGCCACAAGCTGCCGTGCCGTCGTACCAAGGGGCGGTACGTGTCTGTGTACTCTAAGGACGTCCATGACGACGACGAAGGAACGGCGACCATCACTTCATCTGAAGACGAAATACCGCTGAAGGACAGTGAGGTGTAAGACACAAGCCTCCATCGATTACATCTTACAACGATCAACGACTTTCACAGCAGATGATCACAGATGCAGGAGTTAAACAGCAACGACTCGTTTCGCACATGTTACGACATTCATACACTGACTACACATTTCTAGCCCGAGATTGCTTTGTCAAACGGGCTCTAGGTTCTTCATGTTTTCGGACGCTGCTGTTGGAGATTAGCAGACCCGTCCTTGACATTACCACCGGTGCATCTCATTTACAATATTCAGTCCATACAGGACTCTGTTCAGCAAATAAATGTCAGCGCTGTGACGATAACTCCCTTTTAAAACTGAAAGTCACGCAGTAAGGTAATTTCTTGAGAGGAGTAACTGAACATACCATATTTTAGAAACGATGGTAGGGCTGAGATTATCGTAACTCACATACAGGAACATGGACTTCCGGTAGTCCCAGTGCTGAGAAAACATGGACCCATGGCGCCTTTTTCAAAACCAATATAGCAATATAAATGTCGCAACTCTCATATTTCGGAAACTGGTGGAAGCAGAAGTGCTGAAGACGCTCGATAACAAATCCATTTCGTGGTTTGAAAGCCAGGATTAACCTATCCATTGAAGGACGCCACTGTGAAAGGTCTTCTGTTATGGAGTGTCTCTTTTGAGTGCATCAAGTTCAATCAAGAAACAAGACGGTCTAAATGCAAACATTGTATGACAATATCATTTAGGTACATGTATATTGTATTTATTGTAAGTAGCCTTATTGTATGGGTTGTACCTAATACAAGTTAAGAAAGTATACATTCAGTATGTATATATCAGTCACTATACATAGATATAGCGATCTAAAACAAATAGAACAAAACATATGCACAGTTACAAGAAGCCAAAACGGCTTCTGTGATATGAACGAAGAAAGGCAAATATGTCTGTTTGATCACTTAAAATATGATCTGGTTTGAAGTCATATTTGCTGGAACGGAGTAGATCATTATACCCATCTTTGACGGTTAACTTGCCAGGATGGACATTATATTCATATGATTGTATGTGTTCTATCTAGGATGTCAATCCTCCAGCATGTACATATGCCAATGCTTGGAAAGCTTTTGAATAAATCATGTATGGACTTATCTATAGATGGGTCAGTTTCACTGATATCGGTAGAATACTTGAAACATGAAAATAATGATAAACTCCGATGTTTCAATTTTGAGAAAGTTCCTGAATGCTTTAGGACGCTTTGCCATGTTTATGCGTCGCAAGAAGATCTGCTCACATTTGAATACATGTATTTCCAATCTGATATATTCAATCTATATATTTTGCATATTAAAACACGAATTAGAGTTGGCGCATTATACTGAGATTTGATTGCCATACCAACATTAACACCACAAGAGGTTAATACACAGTGTCCAAATTTAGAACCCGTGAAGGTCCGGGTTAGAATGAACCTTCAGTAACCCATGCTTGTCGTAAGAGGCGACTAACGGGATCGGGTGGTCAGGCTCGCTGACTTGGTTGACACATGTTATCGGTTCCCAATTGCGCAGATCGATGCTCATGCTGTTGATCACTGGATTGTCTGGTCCAGACTCGATTATTTACAGACCGCCGACATATACATGTAGCTAGAATATTGCTGAGTGCGGCGTAAAACTAAACTCACTCTCTCACTCGACCTGACGAGTAAATGCTATAAACACTAAGCATCTCCATCACTTTATCCCCCAACCCCATTTGTCTTTCTCTATTTTAATAATATTATTTGGCCACACCAAACTATTATAGTAAACATGCTTCTCGTTTGGGGATAAGTCGGTGAATGTTTTTATATTTGACAATTGTTAAGTTTACCCGTTAAAAAAAGGGTCAGTGTTATTGTACGTAATGAATCCAAGGTTAGAGATATCAATGATAAAGTTTATGGTAATACGTGTGAGAGTGTACGTATTGATTACTTGTAGCTCATTACTTATTTTCTGATTCGTTAGTCCAGATTTTGTTTTAATGAGGTTGATTTCCCTACGATATGATCCAGTTTAGTGAGGTTTCGCTGTATGTAGAGAGCCAGATCGTAGTTAAAGCTATGTAGTCTTCATGCTAGCTGATAGCCCGAGCCAGCAGACTGCCCGTGTAACACAGATCGATCATACAACATAGCGTTATATTGACAGATCGATATTATATGAATGATACCATATGTTCCGTTTCGCGAGATTAAAGTTCATCTTTATCAATATATTCACAGCAGTTGCAGTGTTTAATAGTGGCAGTGATTCAACTGACTATGGAGAATGATGGAAGGGATAACTGCGCGGTCCTATCCGAATCCCATTTTCGATGCATACTATTATATATACTCTTCAAAAAAAGAAACTTGACATTGGACAATTTTAGGAAAATATTTGAGTAAAACCAATCCATGCTGAATCCCAGCATGTGGGGGAATGGTTGCCGACGACAAAACGTTTGAAAAAAGAAATTAACAAAAACGTAACGTTACACTCACGTCTGGAGTGAATCGCTAAAACGCACCCTACATGAAATGCACGAGCATCATGAAATTGTGTATCACCCTGAACTGAAGCCTATGACTGTAGGCTTTAACAAACAACATCAATGGTACTCCACATGCATTGCTTTAAGCCACTATAGACCACAGGCCCTCGTGTCTTTGCGAAGATTAAGGATGTTAAAAACACATAAAACATTTGAGATGACCCCCGACTCGAATGCTTCACAGTACAAAACATTATGACTGTGTAGCATTTCGAGTCGGGGGTCATCTCAAATGTTTTTTAATCTTTAATCTTCGCAAAGACACGAGGGCCTGTGCTATAGACGACAAGAGAATGAAAAGACTGACAGAAGCTAAACGACACAACGCCATTGGCCGTTTACAAGGTCGCAGCATGATGTGGCAAGGCACTTCAGCGTGTCCAGACAGACCATCTCAAACCTATGGACCATCTCCTTTCTTCTATGGGTCACCGCTGCCAAGCTGTTATCGATACTCATGGTGGTCACACCAGATACTGACATTTTACTCTGACCAAGTGGCTTTAATGGCCGTCTGTGGTTTTACCAAACACTTTCTGGATAATCATGTTTTGCAAATTTGTAAAGTAATGATTTCAATGTTATTGAGCAATGATGTCATGTTTGAATCAGTTATATGCTCTCAGTAAGTAAACTCCAAAACATCATGTCAAATTTCTTTTTTTGAAGAGTATATAAAAACTTCAAGTTTCATAGGTGATCTGAAGATCTAACTGGACGTTTTCAACTCAGGGAATAAATAATTTTTTAATATTGCAGTTTATGTTCTTATACAAAATATTATGAGTACCAAACGCAAATTATTTCATTCTTCCTTGATGCCATGTGGCTGATTGTAAGTTGTGGTTACAATCATAGGTACAGATGTAACCGCGTGGTTTGAAGATGCGCCGTCTCACATCTTTTACGAGTAGGCGCCACGTGTACAGACAATCTGAGTAGTGTTAGAGGTAGTTAGCCTGCATACAGACAACTACTAGCTCGGTACGGTGACTGTCACCCCTGAATACATCCTTACCGTTCCACTCATTCATATTTGTCGTGGTCATAATGGAGGAATCGTCTCGTTGCAAGTTTCCAGTTTGCAGTCTGTTGTTATCTGAGTATTGAAGCGATCGTAAAATCTCCATTCGTGGCTTCTCGGTCTTCATCACGCTTCACTCAACTGTTGTTGTAAACCCGTCTCTGTTTTGCATCAGCAGGTGTTCGCCTGAGAACTGTGCTTCACGGTATCGGGCTTGCCCCAGCCGAGGTCAAGACGATATGATTGTGAATATCAAGATGGTATGATTGATTGTGAACATAAAGATCATATGATTTATTGAGAATATCAAGACGATACGATCTGTTTCATTGTCAGTATTAAGAGTATTTGGTTATAGTATCAAGATGATATGATCAATTATAAATATGAAGAAACCATGATTCAGTTTGAACGTGAACGTATTATGAAGAAAGAAAACATATATCCTATTGTAAATATCAAGGCGATATAAGTAAATGCGAATATTAAGACGATATGATTAACTGTGTATATCAAGGCTTCCTTTCACAAAGCACTAAGGTGATCGTAAGTCACTAAGGTAACCTTGGAGCAATGTGAGTTAAGGTTAACCTTAGCAAAGGTTGCTTCGTGAAAGGAGGCCCAGAACGATATTATCACTTGCCAATATTAACAACTAATTGTTATACCTAGATGATGTAAATAATTGTGAATGTCGAATATAATTAATTGTACTTCTAAAGATATAATTAAATGTAAATGATATGATTATGAGTACACATCGCGATGATATGAAAACTGTGAATATCAAGATATGGATAACTGTGAGTATCAATCAGTACCGGGTTTGCCACACGTGTGACAACGGACGTCATTGAGGACAGCGGATGGTCGAGGAAGGGTCATGTGATGCCATTTCATGCCGGCTGGTTTGGAAGTCCGATATATTTTATATGGGAGTAGGTGACAGTTACATTTCATATAGGACTGCATGACAGATGTATCAAATATGGGAGTACGTGACAGATACATTTCATATAGGACTGCATGACAGATGTATTATATATGGGAGTACGTGACAGATACATTTCATATAGGACTGCATGACAGATGTATTATATATGGGAGTACGTGGCAGATATATTTCATATAGGACTGCATGACAGATATATTATATATGGGAGTACGTGACAGATACATTTCATATAGGATTGCATGACAGATATATTATATATGGGAGTACGTGACAGATACATTTCATATAGGATTGCATGACAGATGTATTATATATGGGAGTACGTGGCAGATATATTTCATATAGGACTGCATGACAGATATATTATATATGGGAGTACGTGACAGATACATTTCATATAGGATTGCATGACAGATGTATTATATATGGGAGTACGTGGCAGATATATTTCATATAGGACTGCATGACAGATATGCTATATATCGGATTACGTGACAGATACATTTCATATAGGACAACATGACAGATGTATTATATATGGGAGTACGTGACAGATACATTTCATATAGAACTGCATGACAGATGTATTATATATGGGAGTACGTGACAGATATATTTCATTTGGGTATAGGTGGGAGTAGGTGAGCGATATATATGGGAGTGCGTGACATATATTTCATATAGAAGTGCATGGCAGATAATTTCACGTGGAAGTACGGGACAGGTTTTTTTCAAATGGTAGCGCATGACATATACATTTCATATGGGAGTACGTGACATATGTTTCATATGGGATGACATGGCAGATATATTGGATATGGATGAACCTGATTACATTATACATACATTTCATATGGCGTACAGGACAGATAGGTTCCATGCAAGATAAACATTATCAGCGCATTTCATATAGAAGCGCACCACCACCAAGGTATTACTTATAAATGGTAGCTGCGCTTAACGACCTCGGCGTCTTGGGGACTCCCGCATAAGAACAGAAGGATTTGGCCGGAATATGTCCATAGGGTCACATTGATCCATTTCCTCACAGACGCACACAGTGGGCGTATTTCATAAAGAAGTAAACCCGTGAAGATCTGGGTTTGAATTGATCTTCAGTAACACATGCTTGTCGTAAGAGGCGACCATCGGGATCGGGTCGTCAGGCTCGCTGACTTGGCTGACCCATGTCATCGTATCCCAATTGTGTTGACCGATGCTCATGATGTTAATCACTGGATTGTCTGATTCAGACTCGATATTTTACAGACCGCCACCATATAGCTGGAGTATTGCGGGGTGCGGCGTTAAACAAACAACCAAACAAACCAAACATCATAATGAAGTATGTTTTAAGTACAGTTTAACCTGGATATACCGCCACCATTCGTCCAGACAAATTTTTGCGGTATGTCCAGGGTGGAGAGTACATGTACAGTACAATGTACATTGTTATGAGAGTGTGTTTTTTGTAATTTATAATATCATTGATTAAGTTATCATGGGTCACAATGTTCAAAGTTTTGAGTGTGGGTTTTGGCTCACATCGCGCATCATATAATTATGTTCAATGGCAATAGTATTTTGAGCG